TCCACTCTGTTGGCTCATGGTTCATGGAGGCACCAGCACCATGCACAGATGTTTTTTTAGTGCTAATACACTGCTGGAGGGTATGGTCACCCTGGGCTGGTGCTGGGTATTTCCACACCAGGATGTAAAAATTCCACATATATCTCAGAGTTATCATTGCTGGAGGTACATGTCTGCCCTTGTGTTTCCATGTCAGACTGTGTTTTGCAGATATAGATATTATCAGGACTGAAAACATGAGGGAAAACATTCCTGCATGCAGAGCTGCTTTTAACAATTTGTAGGCCACTCACATAGAAAGCACCATAAAAAAATAAATAAAGGAAATCGTGTTTACAAGTGATTTGAGAATAGCTGTCTTTTGAATACAAGCCTCCAGGTCTATTAGGAGATTTTACATTCAGCCCACTGCCTGGCCATTATGTGCTGCAAAGAAATTACTCTGATTGTGCAGATCATTTCAGCACGTAATGACTGGGAGCCCAATATTTTTCATTAATTTTTCTGGGTTAAATAATGCTCTGATGTAATTTTTCTGATTGTTCTTTGTTCCACGAGCTGATTTCTTTCTGAAGAAGCTGTGTTCTTAGGTGTTACAGTTTTGAAACCAAACCTCATCATTGCCAGACTTGTCCCCTTGCTGGGTCTTTCCTGTCACCTGGAGGTGGCTCAACTTCCCATTTCTTGGGTTGCTTCTCTCATTTTTTCCCTCCCTTCTTCACAGTTGGGTCTGAATATTTGACCCACCTGTCCTTAGAATCATTTTATTTGATTTCTTCTCCTGTTGAGCTTTGGGATGCTTCTCTCTCCTCCAGTGTCTTGGCTACTGGTGATTGTGGTGCCACTTCCATTGCAGGATTTTGTGCCTCACCAGCTGGAAATCTCACACAAATACATGACTTTTCCTGCTGCTTATGGCTCTCTTGAATTCTTTTTCCTGGCAGTGTCATTTTTTTTTAAATGCAGTATTGCAGTTGCTGCCTAAAGTAAAGAATGTTTCAAATTGCAGTTTGTGAAATAGGTTTTATGGAAGAAACTTGTATTATCAGCCCTGCTTAGCTACCTGCACTCAGTAATCATTCTTTCCTGGATGTTTTTCAGAGTGCCACCTCCACAGAGGAGGTTGTTTTATATTTTGTGGCTTATTTTCAAATAATATACCTGTGCAGAAATTGCTGGGAGAGAGATTGCCATGGTATCTGTCCCTTAGATGCCACTGCTGGTTTTGCCCCAGAGGGTGCTGGCCCTGCCCAGACCCCGAGGCTGCCAGAGCTCCAGGGATGCTCAGGGTGGAATTTTGGGGTGTCTGGGCAGGGCCAGGAGCTGGACTTGAGGATCCTGATGTGTCTCTTCCAGCTCAGCATATTCTGTGGTTCTATGAATCAACAGCAGCATGGCCAGATTAAACCTTAATTAAAACCTTAATTAAACCATCAGTGTGTGATGATCCAGAAACCTGACTTCTCATGGGCTGGTGAGCTGGACAGCTCTGGGAAATTGGCCATTTGCCCCTGTCCTGCTCTCTTTGCATCCCTGCAGCATCACCAGAACTGTATCTCCCATGAATGTGCTTCCTCTGCTGCCTTCTGTCTCACTGCAAGGTGCTGGGTCTGGGAATTTTGGAAGGGATTGAAGAGAAACAAAGTCAACTGGGTTGCTAGGAAAGGACTAAAATGTTGTTATAGCTCTGAGTGACCAGTGGAGTGCTGGGTGAATGTCAGAGGCAGGCCACTGCTCTGGCTGCTGGGATGGTGCATTTTGTACACTGCATAAATGAGTATCTCTGAGAGCAGCAGCCTGGTGGAGGAGATGAGGCTAAGAAAAGATAAGATACTAGATAAATAGATAGGGAGTCAGGGGACCTACAGTCTTCAGTCCTCTGGCACTGCCTTCTGTCATTTGCCTTCCTTATTAAGAAAGCAAGCTTAGGGCAGAAAATTGTCCTAGTTCTTGTTAGTGCAGAGTAATGGGGTCCTGAGCTCTGTGGGGGCTCTGGGTGCCACTGAAATGCACACACTAGGAACAGTGGTGACCTGCTCTGTGTCTCACTATTCCAGCATCCAGCTTCTGTTACAAGGAACAATTCATTCCAGGAAATGTGGTGGAAGGAACCACTAGGAAATACAGTTGCAGTTTATTTTCATTCCTTTTTAATGCCAGCAATATATAAACACAGTTTTTCAGAAGGAAAAGGGTTGCCCCTCAAGTACAGTCATGCAGAGATTTGCAAGTGTGTTTAAAGATATTTGTATGAAATGGCCATCTGAGCAGTTGTTATGGGCTGCTGTGCTCAGAGGATTTCAGATCCTGCATCTCTATAAAGGAGAGAAGCAAAACTGAATTCTAAAACAGCGTTTTTGTCAGGAGCAGCAGAAGTCATGTCCTGTGAGAAACAGCTCACAGAACTCCTCCTGCCAGGGTAGGAATGTTCTTACCTGCAGCTGCTGCTGGGACAGGTGGGAAAGCAGAGTAACCAGAGGAGATTTAGACATCTGCATGGAAAATATGCCACAACAGCAGGAAAACAATGGACTTTTGCAGTAATGTTTCATTACAAGGCTTTGAGAACCCCAGAGTCAGGAATTTGCTGTCACTGTCATATTCTCCATTCCTAGGCACTATTAGCTGAGACAACTTACAAATGGTTGGGCTGGTAGCCTAAAGGAATTGCTGGCCTTTGCCCAGAGAGATAGAGTTGTCCAGAAGATTGGAGTGAACTGGTCACTGTGGTGTGGAGGTGTCAGGATGGATAATGAACTTTTCTTCTCCTCCTGGAACTGCAGGAGCCTGCAGGGGGGTGGGAAATATCAGAGAGAAACACTCTGACCACACATTGCCTGGAGTAACGAGCAACAGCCTGGCAAAATCAAACCAGTCTGCTGGATTGGAAGATGGAGTTGACATCAGGCTCTTATTTCTTCTAACACAGCCCACACTTCATGAGGGTATTCAGATGGTACAAAAACGAGGGGCGTCTGACTGTGCTGTTTATAGTAGAAAACCATTCTCCAACACCTATTATTTGGGGTCATGGGAGTAACTGCAGCTCAGCTGAAGGATAATTTGGAGTACTTCTGACTTTGACGTCAAATGAATAGAGTTTTAGCCATTTTCTGGGAAAAATTGTACCTTTCTCATTGCCTTTGTTGTGTGACAGTGTGGGGATTGCCTGCCTGATGGTGTATAGCTCACCTCTTGGACACATTGACTGCAGGATTGTGGGAGAGCTTGTCAAATAAAGATGGAAATAGGCAACTGATAGTTATTTTCATGCTCAGGAGTCCCATTAATGCATTTCAGACGTGAGCACAGAAGTTATCATTGAAGTCTTAACTGAATGGGCAAATTGGTGAATGCAGCAGAATAGTAGAATTGTCAGGGGCAAATGCTGAAAATGATACGTGTGATGCCAAGAGCCAGCCCTTTTTGCTTGGTAAATGTTGTGTTTTGCACTGGCTAAACTAGATTAACAGCTTAGCTGTAGGAGAAGTGAAATCATGCTTTTATCACTGCATCATCTCTTAGAGCATATGCAGTTAAACATGTGGCAAAGAGGCAAAACAGCACCCCAGTGACAGTAACACTGCTGTCTCACCAACACATGGACTTGGCTGAATATTATCTCCCCAAGCAAGTGACTTCATGAGCAGAAGTGATTCAGATTTCCTGAAGATCAGCAGCACAGAGCTGTCAAAAGAGCACAACTTCACTGATGTCAGCCCTCTGTGCTCACCTTTGATTCCCTTTCCTTACCACGTTTAAGCTGCAGAGGAAGACCTGGCTGACTCCAGAAACGAAGGTGAAGCCCAAGATAAGAGTGGATCTCATGTAACATGAATTCATTTAACTTCATAAGCTGCAGTGGTGATATTTTTAGGAGCAGTTAAGTGTAACAGGAATATAATGAAGATAGGCTTATTTAGTCTTTAGAGTAGCCATGACTCAAATCTTGTGGGGCTTTCTAAATCAAGCTCAGTGGCTTAAGCTATATCTGGAAATATTCTGTGCAGCAAGCAGTGAAGTCAGCAGAGCTAAGGTCTGTAATGAGGACTAATGAGGTCTCAACAGTAGGGTAGAGGGCAGATTTCTCCAAGGTGCTTAGTTACAGCAGAAAGGCTGTGCAAATAATGTTCCTAAATATGTTTTATTTTCGGGTGTGTAGATATCACTTGTTAAAAAAAAACAAACAAAACCCCAGAAAGTTTCAAATATAAATTATGCTCTGTTTTTTGGACTGAAGAAGTGATGCCTGGTGTGTGATGTTAAAGGGTGCTGAGGAGCTGGAATTGCCCAGAGCAGCTGTGGCTGCCCCTGGATCCCTGGAAGTGTCCAAGGCCAGGCTGGATGGAGCTCCAAGGTTCAGCCTGGTCTTGTAAAAGGTGTCCTTGCCCATAGTTGGGGGTTGGAATGAGATGGGCTTTAAGGTCCCTTCTACCTCAAATCATTCCATGATTCTGTGTGGAGGGTGCTCTGTATGATGGATTAATGCTTGTTACATGTATATCTCTAATGAGATGTCTAAAAAGGCCAGGCCTCCAATACACTGAGAAACACAAATGTGAGCTGATCTTAGAGGGAAAAAAGTTTCTGCCAGAAGTATTATTATTATTACACGTTACTGTGCTCACTATTTCGATGAGTAAGAATTGCAAGTCCATTTAAACTATTTAAGATAAAAATTAGAACTGTTGCTCTCCTGTTTCTGGGTGCATGCTGAGTGCTTTGCAAGACTAAATGCCCCATTACAGTATAACTTAGTAAAATATTAGAGTCATTTGCACTACACTGGGATTTTACACCCTATTACTGCTCTGAATTATCTGTCATTAGCCCTCATTAAAGGCAGATTTGGTTAGATGGACAATTGTCTATTGCAATTTGGTTGCAAATATGTTGTTAGGCTTTCAAATGAATATTTAAAGTGGATCATTGCACAGTTTGCCTACATATTCTTTTTTTTTTTTTTTTATCTTGTCCTTCCTCTCCCTCCATCTTTTAAGGAGCTTCCACCCAGAATTCCAATGCAGTGGAACCCGAAAAGCAAGTTGACAGCACGGTGAAAATGGCTGGAGTTATAGCTGGTCTCCTGATGTTTGTTATTATCCTCTTGGGAGCAATGCTTACCATCAAAAGAAGGTAAGTTTCTGCTTTGCTTCCATCTTGGACCTCTGGGCTACGTTGTTGTAGTTTCCAAAGGAAGAATAAATAGAGATCAAAGATTCTTTATGTGTGACAGAGCAGCAGTTAATGCCTGTGTACACACCACTGACACTAAGGGTTGCAGCCCAGAAGAAATGCCAGTTCTGGGAGATCCAGCAACGAAAGAATGGTTGTTACTGCAAAGAGATAATGATAATTAGCTCTAATATAACGATATTATATTAATGATAATTAATGTCAAGGGACAAGTCACGAAGTAGCATGGAGAAGTACAAGGGGATGAAAGGAGAACCTCTCCTAACAGGAAGGGCTGAGACTCGGGATTGTTCAGTCTGGGGAAGAGAAGGTTTGGAGCCTTCCAGTACTTGAAGGGAGCCTACAAGAAGGATGGAGAGAGACAACTCACAAGGCTCTGGAGTGACAGGACAGGGACAAGGAGAGGCTTCAAGCTGACAGAGAGCAGGGTTATATCAGACATTAGCAAGAAATGCTTCCCTGTGAGAGAGCTGAGGCCCTCACACAGGTTGCCCAGAGAAGCTGTGGCTGCTTCATCCCAACCATTCTCCCAACACTTGGTTCTTCTGATGCTTTGGCTGTCACAACTGCTACAACAGAAGTTATTGCCTCACAGACAACACAGGCAAACCCCCAAGCAAAATCACTCACAATGCAGAATGAGCTGGACCCTGAGGATCCATTTGCTCCATATGAACATTCCCAAGCTCCTGCTGAGCTCAGCTGACCCCTGAGAGTGCACAGGACCTTCAGCTGAGCTTGCCTGGTCCCTGGAGGAGCAGTGTTGGGTGAATTTGGGAGTGATGTCCCATGCACAGAACTTTGCTCTCTGGTTTTGCCATAGGGTCTCTAAACCTGGGCAATTTTCTTCAAAGTTAACATTAGAAAGGAGATGAGTGGGAGTATTAGAAATCTAAATTCTCCCTTTTTTCCCCTAGAGCTGGAAAATTACAGTTTCCCCTGTGCTCTTCCCACAGCAGCCCCTCCCAGGGCAGACAAGCAGAATCCCTGCAGTCTGCATCTCTGTTTGCTGCAATTTGCTGGGATACCCACTGGAAGACACACTGAAATAAGGAATGAACTGGCTCATTGGCTTCAAAATCTTTTCCCATTTAGAAGCTCTGAGTACTCCTCTGAGGAGGAGGTTTGGGAGGCTGTAGCACACCTCCAGCACCAGAGGTGCTGATCACATCCATTCTGGGCTCCCTTGGATGGGCACCACCAGCCCCGTCCAGCTGGGGCTCAGAGCTGCATATGGACAAGTGTTCCCTGAAGATGAACTTCAGCCTGTCAGGCTCATTTCATTTGTAAACTAGTGTGGGTTGGGGCCAGCTTTTATAAAAGGAGAAGCTGATTTGGGCCACAAATTGATTGGAACTTCTGGAGGAACAGAGCTGAAAGTTTGAGCTCTTCTGAGAGAACAGTTTAACAACAGAGTTCTCTTTTTATTTTGCAAACAGAAGCATTTGGAGCTTAAGCCCTTGCATTCCATGTTTGCATTAGCCTCAGTTTAAAACCAGTTCCCAATGCACCAAGGCCTCAGTGTACAAATAGTGTAGCCTTGCAAGGCAACAATTCAGAAAAATAATTTAATAAGCTGAACTTGAGATGTTGTCTTCAAATGAAGCTGGAAAACATCCCAGTGAAATCTGTCCATTGTCCAGGGCATCACAGCTCAGTGGGAACAGGCACAGGATTTCCTGGATGAAGCATTTTGTTAACCAGTGCAGAGAGCAGAGGAGGGAGAGGGATTAGAAGAGAAGGAAGACACTGGTTTGAGATAAGCTTTGGTATCATCAGGAGCCTCTTTTTATTGCTGTGAGACTCACCAGATTGGCAGCACGCTGCTTGGAACCTTTCAGCCACAGAGCATGAGCAAGCAGCACTCAGTTGCTCACAGTTTCAGCAGAACAAATTGCAAGAACTCCAGCAACTCAAAAATTTATGGGGGCTGATAAAGTTTTAGAGGGTTTAGTCAGATATGTGAAGCTAAATTAAGCCAACCAGTGTATTTATGCAGTGGAAAAATTGGGTTTGACTTTATGTTTGTTGTCTGAAAGTTTTAGTTGAAACTTGGGGCTGTCTAAAGTCTGCTGAAGTTTCCATATCTGTATATCTATGTCAAAATTGTGTGTACATATAAATTTCTGTTTTAAACATGACTGTCTTACAGTATTTAAAATCAAAACCATTAACAGTTTGTTTTCTTGGTTTTGGGAACCCACTAACACCAGAAGTTAAGTCATCATATCATCATTACAAGCATATGACATAAAAATTGCTGCCATGTAATGGAGAGAAACTTTATACAAGGACATGAAGTGACAGGACAAGGGGGGATGGCTTCAAACTGAAAGAAATTAAAATTATATTGGCTAGGAAGAAATTAGGAAAGAAGTTCTTCACTCTGAATGTGATAAGGCCCTGGCACAGGGTGCCCAGAGCAGCTGTGGCTGCCCCTGGATCCCTGGCAGTGCCCAAGGCCAGGCTGGACAGGGCTTGGAGCAGCCTGGGACAGTGGAAGCTGTCCCTGCCCATGGCAGGGGGGTTGGAATAAACTTGAATTCCATCCCAAACCACTCTGTGATTCTGTGATAATTTAGCCTGTTAATTTAGTAGTGGTTATCAGTGCCCACATGACTGTATGTGCCTGCAAAAGGCAGAACCACATTCTTTCATTAACAGATATCCTGAAATACCTAATTTTTATTGTATGAAAGTGTTTCTAATTCTCTAAGGAGCTTGTTTTTTCCATAATATTATTTAAATACATTTGTGTAACAGAGAATACAGAATCATTTTGTAAAAACAAAGCGAAACAAGAAAAACAAGATAGATTTTCAGGAGAAAATACCCTTTGACTTTGCCCCTCCCCAAAGGATTTGATTTTGGTCAGTTCTGATTTCATCTGGCCAGTTTTAATTCTGATGTAATTGTGACTTGTATTTCCCTGGAGTGAAGAATGTGACACCTCTCAGGCTGGTGTGTTTGAGCAGACAAAGCCTCCACTGACCCCTTTAAATATAAGACTGAATAAATAGGATCAGACAGCCTGTCATGGATGCACTGTAAATAAGTTCTTTAAACTGCTGTCGGTAGCAAAAAATGAGATTTGGGGCTATGTAGGGTCTAGGATTATTTTCTCCTATAAAAATTCAGCTCCTTATTCTGGATTAGGATTTAGGTTGTTACCTTAAACTCATTAAATAAAGCCCCAAAGCCTCTAGGGTAGAATATACCCAAGCTGTAGAATTAGGAAAAGAGACATTTGCACATTCAGTGACCAGTGTCCCCCCTGTGTCCCTGCTCCAGGTGGGAGGCAGGCAGGGCTTTGGGTTGTGCTGTACATTCTAGAACCAGGTCATGTTTTTATTGAACCATAACTCTGACCAGTTCTCACAGTTAAGCTTTGAAATATTCTTTAATAAGTCCTTACTTCAGGCTGCATATTTTGGAAGAATGTGAGCCAAAATGCCCAATTCCAAAACGTAATCCTCCCTTTGTTTGTCTTCCTTTATTTTCTATCCTTGTGGAGCAAACCTTTCTGAGCTTTTCCTCTGCAGCCTGGAGGGATGTGCAGCTTTTTAATGAGGGCTGGGAGTCTGGTGGGATCCCAGAGTCTGTGGCCCAGACAGGAGAGCAGCAGAAAGAACAGCAAGATGTTCAAGGGAGCAGTTCCAGTCCATAGAGCTGTGTGAGCCCTGCTCCTGGCCTCTCACAAGGCTTGGTTCAGTTGAATCATTTTGGGGATTTCAGGGGTTCAGCTGTGTGTGCTCTCATTTTCTACATCTTGGTCATGCTTTCCTTAGTTTAGAGGCTCAGTGGAGCTCAGATTTTCACAGGGAAGCTCAGTGGTAATCACTGCACCTTCACTGGTGCATTGCTCTGTAGAATTGCTGCTTTCAGGAGATAACAGCATTTAGTTAAAACACATCCAGATGTATCTTGGAACCAGTGCCATTCTAATAACTTGGCATCCATCAGGAATCTGGCCAAAATAGCAGGTTTATAGCAAAGGCCATCAGGAAAACCATGCCACTTGAGTTTAATCCTCATGAGCTGCTCTTTTCCACAGAGGGTGGTTGTGCACAGAGTGACTGAGCTGAACCTGGTTTCCACATGTGCTTGTGGAAGTTGTGTTCAGAGCAACCATAACAGTGAACCCTTGAAAGCTGCATTTGCATTTCTAAGCGATTCCTGATCACCCTGGTATCTTCAAGGATGGGATTTTAAAGCTGTGTGCATTAGGTTGAAGTTTGTGTTTCATTGTTTTTCCCTGTCTTGATCACTGCTGCTGCTTCTGTGGCTTCTTACGGCTGGTGGTCAATCTCTAATACTCTGGGCTAGGTCTCTTGTGAACCAGTCTTTTCAGAGAAAAAAAAAGACTTTCCAGCTATAAAAGGGAAAATATCACCTCTTAAGCTACAACTGATTGCCAAGGCTCAGTTTGTGGTGCTGCTCAAAATGTTGTGAAATGAATTGTTGAGAAACTGTGCTAGAAAATGCTTAATCACAGTGATGCAGAAAGCTAATGCATGCCCCCAGTGCTCAGCTATAAATATGGAGTGATGCTTGAATTGTTAATGAACTATTTGCATCTTAGAGTTTGATGAAGCTTGATTTATCATTAGACTATTTGCTCATTGTCTAAATATTCCAAAATTGTGGCCTTCTTACATTGTCACTTCCCTATTTATTGTTATTTGTATTAATAGCTGTGACATCTTTCTTTCCATTTCAGAAATACCAAAGCACTTGAGAGGCAAAATTAAATCTCATTGCCCATGTTACTGACATGATAAAGTGAGGGAATTAAAGGTGAGGGGATTTATTTATGATGGCAGAAGTGGAAACACAACCTGTCTCCAGTTCAGTATCTGTTTATTCCTCACCAACACACAGCTCCTGAAACAAGTGTAGGCAAATAGGATTTCAGTACAGAAAACAGCACAAATACTTTGTATATTGAAAAAGAAGCCCGGAGTTCATCTAAATCTAATTATGTGCTTTTCTCTTTTTCTCATTTTGGATATTTTGTTCATCTGACTGGCCATCAATATTTAGAAGAAATGCATATTCCTACTCCTACTACTTGTAAGTACTTGACTGGGGATGAGATTTTTTTGAGCATGTCCATCCTGTGGTGATTTTGTGCTTTGTTGTATTCTTTTTTTTTTTTTTTTTTCCTTTTTACCACTCCATTTATCCTTGTCTTTCCAGCAGCTTGTGTTTTATTTTCCCAGTTGCATGCTGTTATGTTTTCCCCATTTTCCCCCTGTACCTGTAGCTGTACCTGCAGCCATATGAATGTCCACAGATATGTCAGTTACTGTTTATAGCTCTTCAAACTGGATATTCATCTTTAGATTGGATATCAGGAAAAATTTCTTCACCAAAAGGGCTGTCCAGCACTAGAACATGTGGCCCAGGGAAGGGATGGAGTGAGTCACCACTAAGACATTTAAAAGTTGTGTGGATGTGGCACTTGGGGACAGATTTCAGGGATGGACATGGCAGTGCTGGAGGAACAGTTGGAGTTGATGATCTTGGAAATCTTTTCCAACATAAATGATTCTGTGATTCTGTAAATGCTAATGGACAGAGTGTGCCAAGTGCACTTTTTAAATTGTCCATTGCTCGTAGCCAGACTTCAGAGGAATTCACACCTGAAAGTTATTGTTGGGAATTTCTCAGCCATGGATGTAAGGTTTTTAAAAACCTTAAGGTTTCTGACAACTGGGAGTTGACATTATCCCAGCAAACATCCCTGTTCCTGGAGCTGCCAGGTTCTGAGTGTTGGTTTAGATCATTGGATGATGAAGTGGTTCAGATATTCAGATCTAAATCACCTGTCCAGTCCTAATGACAATGCTGCATAATTAAGGCAGTTGTTAAGGCACATGAAAATGCTTCACACATCGGTACTTCCAGAGCCATCTGTTGCCTAAAGACTGAGGGGCTGGGAAGCAATCAGGGCCAAGCTGTTTCTGCCAGGATAATGGTTGTCTGAGGATCCGGGGGAGGAGAGGGCTGGATCAATGATGTGAGGAAAAAGTCCTGGAGAAGTGAGTTGAATGCCTCTGCTGCCATCAGAGGAATGGGAGGGATGGAGAAGGCAGCTGTTGCTGCAGACAGGAGCAGCTCTGCCCTCTCCAGCTCTCAGAAGCAGCAGGAGCCCTGTCATCATCATCATCATCACTTGTCAGGGCTCTGAAACCCACCGGGTTGTCCAAAGGGCCACATCAGCCCTGACAGCCCCTCCTGGTCTGCTGCTCCAGGAGCTCTGCCCCTTCCTGCAGTTCCTCTTTGTCTCATCTTGGCACTTTTTTCTGGAAGGTGTTCAGCAGGTCAGCAGAATGAGAGGGTTAATGTGCTGCCATTTTCAGGGGAGCTGATTTCGTTTCCATATGAGTTGCTTGACGTCCAAAGAACAGGGCAAAGGAGGATCCCTCTGCACCACTGTGCTTGGAGGGATTTTGTTTCTCCATGGCCCCACAGGAGCTATTGAAAGAGGAACCTTTCCCACTTTCCAAGCATGTGAGGAATCTTGGGACACCATCACGAGTCATGACTTTGCCCAGTGATGTAATTGTAAATGCAGAGTAACTCCACTTCCTCTAGACCTCACACTGGTTCACCAAGAATGAAATTTGACCTCAAGCAGTCAGATTAAAGAGGAGGTTAACTAAGTGTAAACTAGGGGATAGTTCTAACCCAAAGGTGCTATGAGCTAGTTGAATTTATTGATAGAACCTTTCCTCTTCTGCACATTTCTCGTGTTTTACTGTTTGGTTTCCTTACAACCAGTAGCACCACTGCCTGAGAAATTCAGTGCCAGGTTTCCCATTACAATTCTGTCTTTTTCCAGCAGGCAGTATGTGGTCAGCATGTTCCCTGCTTCATTTTATTTTGAGATCTGTGTGTTAAAGAGATGAATCAACTTCTGAGTCCTCTGTGACCCATTTTGCAGCAGCACAGCATTGCTTTAAACAGTCAGCTGAGGATTGCTCTGCCAGAGCAAGCACAGGGTCCTTAAGGGGTCTGTTTGCTGTGGGTCAATTTGCTAGACCCTTTTTCCTCAGGGAGCAGTGCAGTGACTCAGGAAAAGTGAAGAGAAAACCCTCTGGAGGGTCACCCAAGCCTGAGGTTGCAACGAGCTTCAGCAGAGGCAGAAGGAAGGGCTTTAATACAGTTTAATGAGGCAGATGTCCACCATGCAGCACATCACACCAGGGAGAAGCCAGAGGTGCCATCAGGCAAGCTGGGTGTTCATAGGAGCCAGTGCAGACTGGAGCTCAGCTTGCAGAAACCATGGAGCTTTTGCACTCCACTAGCACACCCAAAATTTTCTGCAAAGAGCTCATTCTCAGCTCAGTGCTGGTGGTGTCCCAGGGACAGCTCTGCAAGCTGGAGCATCCTGGTAGTGAAGGCAGCACATCAACAACCACCTCAGCATGGACATTCCCAGCAGCAGGCTCTGCGTGCCAGCTCTTGGGTTCACATGGACATTTGGTCTGTTCCATGTGCTGGGAAAACCAAGCTCTGCTTTGGGCTTTTTTCCCCCTGAGCAATAGTCAAGGTAGAAGGGATGTTCCAGCAGTGAGGGGAGAAAGCAGGAGAGCCCATGAAGGAGCACCCAGGGAAGTTCTACTGAGTTTCATGTTTCAAGTTTCACATGAAATAGGGTGTTTAATTAGAATTGCAGATGAAGATCTGAAATTCCTAAGGACTGTGCAATTCTTAGCCAAACTTGATTCAGATTGCTCTGGACTCTCATGAGTAGAGAGGTGGGATTTAAGTTTATTTGAAATGTTGTGGAAATAACAGCAGCAATATGGGTATATACAGATTTTTTTTTAATAGAATTGGTTTCTGTGCTATGACCTTGCATGAATTATTTAGTCCTGAAGTAAAATTCAGTTGAATGAGTTACCAGTATTGAAAAGCAGGTTCCCAAATAGATCTGTTGGCAGATCTTTAAATGTAACCATATGGATTGTATCTCTTCATGTTTGGTTTTAGTTTCTGGACTTCAAAGCTGTGTTTCTTAGAGCAATTCTTGTCTGCTTTCAGATAATTCCTCCCAATTCTATACAGACATTTCTTATTGTTACAGACCAAAATCTCCTATCCTAACTCTTCTAGACAGTTCTGAATGCTAGTTCTATTAAGGTCACAGAGATTTTTTTCAGGAGCACCTGGTCTTTACAGAGACAGGCCACAACATTTTGGTAATCTCTAGATTGGAGTTCTGCCCTCAGCCAGTCTGGTGTTCTGCTGCAATTCAGGAAAATCTGATTCTGAGAGGTGGTCGAGTACCTGCAGCTCTGACTGGTGGAACCAATCCCAAATATTCACTTACAGGAGCAGCTATTTTGGGCATGCACAGTTATAGGTAAATAGTTATGGGATTCTTGTATAGCAACACTTGATTGAAAACTTCCTACCACATATAGGAAAGGATGAAAGAGAAGCCATGGGGATCTTTAACATGCTCTTAGTGAAAATACAACCCAGGAGGCCTCGATTCCTAACTTGTAACTCATTGTGCAGGGTCAACATCACGTTGTGTCCTTCAGTTTACCCATCAGCAAAGGCTTATTGCTTATGGCTTGTGATCCTGTGAGGAGAAAGAGATGGAATTAGGAATTCTTGTCCTGGTGCATCCTCCTTGCATCCCTGTGCCCAGGGTGATGCCTGAACCTTCTCAGAGGAGTTACTCTGTATTTACACCAACACAAATGGTGTCTAAGGTTGGGGCAGAATTGCTGCTGTCTCTCTGCACTTCACTTTAATGGGCAGAGTGAGATATCAACCCAGCCAGGTCTGGAAGTTGTTGGTTTTACTCCCAGCTGAAGCTGTAAAACACAGCCAGCCATTCATCCAGTTTACAGAAGGGTTTGCATTTAGTGACAGACACCTCTTTTGCAACAGTATTTTCAACTGCAGCAATCTATATCATGATTTTATTATTTGCTCACCAGGAAAATAAATGGAAATGTTTTCTGTGTGTGGGTTGTTTGTTTTGGTTTGTTTCTTTCTCCTGGGGGCTGGGTAATGGCTGCAGAATGAAATTTAATCAAGAGCAATATGAGACCAGGGAAGAATTTCTGGAAATACAGAGATTCATGTATGTGTTACAAGCACTCAGATTAATGTTATTTATAAGAAAAGAGCACTCAATGGCCAAGATGTTTTCCTTTTCCCCTGAACTGGCCAGAGCTCCAGGGACATGATTGCAGTGTAGGAAGCCCCTTCACCTCTCACTGGAATTTCACACCAATTTTAATTGTTGGGTGGTTTCAGCTGGGAGTTTCTTTTCATGGGAGATATTACAAAGGTTATTAAGCTAAATGTATACTTAGATTTTTTGAAATAACAGAGTTTATGCTGAATTTATTGCCACCATCTGTGGGACATTTGAAAAGAAAAACATCCCTTTATTTTATTTCTAAGCATACCTCTGTATAACCACATTCACACATAAATATCTCCATGTATTTCCGTGGATGGTGGGATCTGCCTGCACAGGTCAGCTTGCTAAATCAGGATTTTAAGAAGAAACATTCTCATTAGGTGCTTTTCTCGTCAGATGATGGAAAAACAAGATCATTAATCAGTGGCTATGCCTGTCAAATGAAAGCAAAATTTAAACCAAATCTATAAAAATACAGAAAGTAGATGAGATGTTACTCAGAATGTGTCTATACGGTGATTGCAAGCCTAAACCTTGCAGAGAGCAGAGTTTGTGGCTGTCTGTACCAGCAGAGACTTTTACTGGATGGCTCCTGTGTGCACCTGCCTTGTCTAAACTTTCCCTACTTGTAAGTAAAACTAAAAAATAAATATAAATAAATCCTTCACAAGCAGTAATTAATTTGATCAAGTGAAGCTTAGTTCATACTCTCAAGAGCCTGTGCTTGAATTCACACAGTGCAAAACACTCAGGGCATCTTTTGACTAATCTCTACTTTAATTCACTTTCTGCTGTCCTGTGAAGTTTGCTCTGTGACATTGGCCTTTGCTCTTCACTGCACCTTTCCTGCAGCACCTCCCTGTGCTCCTGCCACAGCCTGGCTATATCAGAGCAGGTGTTAAAGCTCAGCTAAAGCTGTCAGAGCCCGTGCTGTGGTGGGGATTTGCCCTTGCAGTGGCTCTGAGAAAGCTGCCCGGGTGCTTAGGCCAGAATTGCTCCCCAGTCCTGCTGGCCGTTCAGGAGGGCAGGTGAGGAGCACCTGAACCATGGAGCAGGTCCCCCCAGTGTGTGACAGAAGGCTGCCCTGCTCTGAGCTCCCATTCCCCTGGCTCTGTTCACACCCCTCTAGTGAGCAGGATTTCCCAGGCTGCCTGTTGGAACCCTGACCCCTTGGCAGCTTTGTCAACTCCTGCCTGCCCCACTGGCTTGAGAGATGGGCAGCTCCTCCTGCACAGAGCTCTCCCCCAGTTTACAGTGAACAGCCTTCCCCAGAGCTTCCCCTTCCCCAGCCCCTGCAGGCAGCGAGAACAGCTCCCCTCTGGTGTCTTTTCATGTTTGAAGATCTATCAGCCCTGTTTGATTTCCTTTTCTCTAGATCAAAGGTTCACATTTCCTTTGGCCTTTGCTTGTAGATCATGTTTTCCAGCTTTACCCTTCGTGTGCTCCTCTGTGTGTGCCCCTGTAGCACAGGTGTGGTTTGAAGAGCAGTGCTGCAGCAGAGCCCTCTCCAATCCTCAGTCAGAGCAACAGCATCACCCAGATCGTGGTGCCATGCCCTTAGTTTTAAACCAGCATGAAACCATTCTTGCCAAATGGATTTGTCATCTACTAAAGGTTTAGGGCGTGGAGATCCTTTCCAATAGATCTGCTGTTTGATCAGTGCTCCCTGGTATTGGCATGGCTCATCACAGCCTGCCTTAAATTGGAGCACTTTCCATCACAAATTACATGTGTACTTCTAGGCATTTGCTATGCACAATTCTCTAAAAGGAATTTAATTTTTTTTTTTTGGCTTTCTTAAACTCCTTATTGAAAATGAGGGAAATATGCAATTTGTGTCTGTAGGAGAAAATGTCACGTTTAACTTACATGATCTATACCTAATGTCTAAATTACCTGTGCATGCAAATCTACACCACAGTGTACATAATCCATCCTGGCGAAACATCTAAAATTAAATCTGTCAACATACATGCATGAGAGTTCTCCAGGAGTGGCAGTTACAGATTTAATGTTCATGCATGTAGAATTGATAGAAAAAGTTAGAGAAGAGTTTGAAGCTGTTGTTAAAAAATAATCCCTAACAGTCATCCAACCCTCCACAAAACAGGAATCTGATTCTGCAGGTACTTCTAACAGAAAATATTGCTGGAGCTTCCTGATTAATGCCCGTGGCAGTAAATGGTTTGTGCTTGCTACCAAGTTTGCATTCCTTGACTGTTTAAGTGGAACTCCCACAATTTTAATATAGTGCTTCAGATTTTATGTCTAGTCTCTGATACGAGTAGAAGTTTCAGAAAATAACTGATTCAAATCTCCATCAATTTTTCCCCCCAAATTCACACTTAGTTGTGTTCACTGCCAATGGCTTGGCTTTTCTCCTTGCTTTAGAGGGGTCAACTGCCTGATTATACAGCTGCTTTCATTTTCTCATTCAACTTTGAGCATCTTTCTGTCTCATCCCTCCTCTGTGTGTGTGGTGCTTGCAAACATCATCTCTTCATTTCCAAACCCTCTCAAAGTGACAAGAGCAACTCCATCCATGGACTCCTGCTTTCTTCTCGCCACATTTCCCTCACCCTTGAATGCAAACCAGCATTAAGATCATTTTATTCACATCCTGGCATCCCGTGTCCATTGTATCAGACTCTTCTTCCCAATATCTGCCTGGTCCTTTATTTCCTCCCCTTTCCAGCTGCATTCTGCATGAGTGGGGAAGTGTCTGCTCCGTGCGGGGTGTCAGCTGTGCTGGGACACGCTGGCCACAGCCAGCCCGTGACTGACACTGCTGCTCCCAGAGCAGCTTTGCTGGGGTGTTGCAGTGGCTCTGTGCAGGGCACTGGGGACAGTGGGAGCTGTGTCACCAGCATGGCTTGTCAGTGATTCACAGAGATCTCTTGGAACCCCCTATTTTTGGGAACGGCATTTCTAGATAAATGCTTTTCCAATTCCAAAAGGCGTTTTTGACGTGCTGGGGAATAAACCTCTACCTAGCTGTGGGTTTTAAGTCACATCCCTAACATTCTGGAAAGTGCTAGTCATTTGATTTTATAATCTTTTCTATGAATTATAATGATGGTAAGGACCAAATAGGCTTAGTCCTGTGCTGCCACTCTCTCCAGACACGGAACGGCAGCAGAAAAGGCACGTTTAGAAACCAAGAGCCCCTTGATGTGTCTGGCAAGCTTAGCTCTGAAATCCTCAAAAGAGATCTGTCTTCCTTTTCCCTCTAAATTTAGATGAAGAATTTTTACATTCTTGGAACAGAGAGGGAGAAAGGTGGAAACTGATAAGACACTGTTGAATAAAATTGTAGCGTTTTCAGATGCAGACCCGGGTTGTGTGTGCGAGGTAGATTGAGAACTTTAAACTCATGTCACCTTTTCTTTTTAGGCATTCAAGCCAATGTTTTAGGGGCCTCTCTGTCTTCTACAGGACCAGGTAGAACTCCTTTGCATAGGGCTTTTGTAAGCAGGCCTTTGGGGACTAAGGGGCTTGGGTTTGGGGTTATTTTTTTCCTGCCTAGGATATGCAGAAATGTCGGTGCTCATTCACACAAAGACAAAACAAGTTTGCCAATTCCAGCTCTTTGTAGCCTGTTGGCATTTCTGAAAAGATACCAGACAATGGGGACGTTGAGATAATTATTTCCACAAATAATCTGACTTTTCATTGAATGAGGAAGTCGGCCCTTTTGACTCACCATTTTCAACCCTCAGGAGTGGTCGTCTGTAGGGGCTCACCCCAGCAGTCCAGAGTGCTTGTTATTAAGGACTTCTGCATTTTGGATTAGTGTTTCCCACTGAGTGCTTTTAATTCCTGTTGCCAAAGAATTCACACAGGCATGTATGATTAGCAAACCATCAGGATTAAAAGAACCACAGGGCAGGGTTAACACACTTCAAGACTATTGTAGTTACCTCAGGTATCACAGCACAGAAAAATAGGGGCTCCCATGTGTGCAGCTCACAGCTCCTAAATCTTGGCTGTGCCAACGCTGCTGAACACTGGAAGCAAAGCTTTTAACATCATTAAACACCAGCTTTTTGCTTCATCACTTAAGGACTGCTCCCCTCTTTGCATCTTCATCTGCACAAGTGGATACACCATGGGAGTTTTGGGAGATCTGAGTAAGCCCTCTGGGATGTTGGACCCAATTTTAACAGCTCTGGGCTTGGATTGGAACCACTAATTGAAAATGGCTGAACCCCAACTGGCTGAGCAGATGAGACAGATGTGTTTGTTCAAAAGTTTGCAGCAAACATCTGAGTTTTCTCCATAAATCTGTGCTCTCCTGATCTGGATTATCTTTCTTTAAAACAGGCTTTTCCTACAGACATAGGCAAAGGATTTAGCTCTCTTTGACCCTTCTTTGCAAACAAGTAGAAGTGGCCAAGCTGCCCATCTCCTGAAGGCTGGGGCTCAGCTGTGTGCTTGAACTTGCCTGTAAATGCCACTCTGACATGTTCTGTGCATAAATAGAGCCTGTTAGATTATGTTGGAAGGAGTACCAGGTTTGGTTTTTTTTGGAATCTAATTAAGTTTAAAAGATGGGTAGTACTTACCATAAGCGTGTTGTTTTAGAGAAGAAAAACCTCTTTGCAAAATGATTCAGTTGTTAGGATTTTTTCTCTTCTTTGAGTTGGAGAAAAGAAAGAAAATGAAAGCTCCTTCTTACAGTAATCTGTTTTTCTCCCTTTTATTTTGTTTTATTTTCTTATCTCGGGAAGTCATGTAAGCAAAGTTCTTTGCTGGTGCTAGGGATTTGTGTGATATTTTTTCGAGGTGTGGATTGTAGAATGTCACACATTCATTTTTAAAGGGTTTTGCTCTCTGATACAAATGAAGCACAGGGCAGTCAAATGTCAGTGGAAGCTTAGCAGCTCACTTTTCCTGCTTCTCCCCATTTTATTATTCTCTGTGTTTGCAAAAGAGGAGCCTCTTATGTTCTCAGCTGTGTTAGTGTTTTCAGAGCAGGCAGCCTTGCTGCTTTTGACAAAGTTTTTGCTGTCTCCTCAAAACAAGAAAAGACCCTTTTTCCCAGAACAGGGTCATATTTGGACATTGCTAAAACAACTTCAACCTTCAAGGTGCCCCAGCCTTCCCTGGCTGGGGATCCCAGAGCACTTTGGGCGTGTATCAGCATTCAGGAGGCTGCTGCCCTCACTGCTCTGCTTGGGACAGGACAGAGCTCTGCTCCAGCTCTCAGGTGGCACAGAGCCAGGTCTCACTCTCCCTCAGAGAGCATCCCATGGGATGGATGCAGATGTCCTGGTCCACTGGAGTGAGCCGTGCTCCCATCCCGAGCCCTCTGCTCCTCCTGGAGCGCTCTGGGGCTGTGCCTATTGCACCCTCTCCAAGGCACCAGCTCCAGGGGCTGTGCCTATTGCACCCTCTCCAAGGCTGAGGTAGCACTCCCACTGCTGGGGTGATGCAGGTTTGTGCCAGATGAGTGACTGGGAGGGAGAGCTCCAGGCTGGTATCACGATATTTATCACGCTCCACGAGTTACGTTAAAAATCTGTGGGGTTTCCTGGCGTGCAGTTTTGTCACATTCCTTGCATGTCTGACCAAGTGGGGTAATTTTATCAACATATTTTGCCATTGTTTTGCTTTTAACGAGGGCAAACTGACCTTGCTTTCTCCCCTCTCCAAACCACCCCAAAGGAAGCTAGCCAAGAAGCAGAAGGAGACTCAGACCAGCACGCAGAGGGAGATGGGTCCTGTGGCTACTTCTGACAAGACCTCCACCAAACTCAGTGCTGTTCACAATGAAGAAGCTTTTTCTTCCAGCTGCCAAGATGTTAATGGATTCAGTAAGTTTAACTTGCTTGCAATGGATATGACCCCCTTGGAGAGCTCTAGGTTCTTAAAAGGACCTATTCCTTTGGGCACAGTGCTGAGGAGTTAGGAATGGCAGTGGTAGAGATCATTGCAAAAGCTCCATAGAAATCTGGAATGTCCCTGATACTGCCCCTGGTTTAACTGTCAGATGGGGAGAGAATTCCTTTGGGTCCAAATCTACTGAGAAGAATTTATAAAGTATGTTCTAATAACTGCATCAGAGTAAGAGGCACGGGTTTATTTGTTGTTTAGAAATACCTTTCCTTTGTGAGTAGAAGAGTCAAATCACTCAAAGCTGACTTGTAGGATGAAATAACATTTTCTGTATGAAATTGTTATGAAAGAAGGCCTGGTCTCCTGGCTAGAGAACTGGAATGGAAAGACAGCATTTCTTCCTTTGTCTGTGTCCTTGGTTTATTCTTCACACGGGTTCAGTAAAACTGATCTTAGTTAACATTTGTAAACCACTCAGACCTCTGTAGCTAAAAGAATTTTGTGGGTAAAGCAGCACCACGTCCTACTTTAGCCTCACTAGATCCAGGTTGAGTGCATGGTGGATTGCATGGTGGATTTGTAAACTTTTTTTGTATTAAATAAATTTAAACTTAGACACTATGGGCATGTCACTCCTTCTTTTGACACTCAGCCTGTTAGTTTGGACAAGGCACAGCTCTGAAACTCAAGTGTGTACTAAAACTCTTGTCTTTATTAAGCATCTTTAGTGAAGGGCTTTTTCCCCTGATTACTAAAATGGAAGTGCTCATGATACAAAATGTGGTTTATCATTGAAACCTCCCCTTGTAATCTGAAATTGAGTGGGACAGGTTGAGTGAATTCTTCCTTTCCCTCTCTCTGCAGGTCATGTCAAATTCCATCTGCATGTGCTGCTACTGCCACTTTGTGTAGCACACCTGTGAGATGGATAAATAGGTGTTTGGGACAGCCAAGGCTGGCAGGGAACGCTTTTCTCTGATATTAAATTGACTTCAGTCAAGATCTAATTTTCTCAGGTGCTGAGTAGCTCTTTCCTAAGGAGGCAGCAAGAGTTCTGTGGGGTTCATCTCTTTGAAAGCCAGGAGAGCAGCAGGCAGTGTTGTATCAGCCATCCCCAAAACAGCAAAGGCAGCTTGGCTGGAGTATGTGGGGGAAATCGAGTGTTTAACACTTCCCTCAGAATCTGGGTTTCTGAAAGTTTGGGGATTCTTTTTCCAACTAGAAAATTAGAAAAGAGACAAGCTTGAAATGTGACCTCATATCCCCCCCTTGTTATTTTGACAGTCTAATTAAAACAGTTGAGTCATTTGCTTGAAATGGCAACTATAGAGAATATGATGTATCAAATTTTGTAAAGAAACATCACTCCAGGTTTTCAATTTTTTAAGTCAGTTAGACCTGTATTTGTCTGACATCTCTTCAGATTTTATATCACTGCCTTCCCCCTAATCACCTGAGTCGGTCATGGGCAGATTCTTCTCTTTTTTCTCTCTTTATATCTATGAGAAAGAATTACCAATAAACCTTCATGATTTCTCCAAATTTTTTACTGCCAAGTCCAGGATGCTGAGGTGTTGGAGGTAAGTTTTGTGCAGTAGTGTGCACATGCTGATACAGGAATTTTATGGGTAAATAATTCCTTGAAAAGAAAAATAAAATAAATTGCCTTAATAGTTTAATACTTGTGGGTTCTATACAGGCCTACTTTGGAATAACATAATAGGATTATTTCTTAACCTTCCTGCTAACTAATAGAGTTTTACAGGGTTTATCCACCAGAGCTGTTGAAATCAAATGTCTTAAACAGCGGTCAGATTCCTTCTTAAATTGTTTTTTTTTTTTGCCTGCCAACAGTAAATAGCATTTACAGCATCTCATGGCAGTCACCCTCTCCATCCTGCCCTCAGCTGTGGCAGCCTGAGCTGGCTGTATCAGGGATGTGGAAATGCCCCTCTCCTTTTGGGAGACGAGCCCACCAAGGGAAGCAAAGTGTTTTCAGTGGCAGCATCACCTTGCCAGCTCACAAAAGCAATCCAGCAGAACCAGACAATTTGCTTTGTAGCATCCCTCAGTTATTGAATGACTTGCAGGCAACTTTACCTGCAGAATACAATGTCCTTGCAGGGCTTGTGTCCTTGCCTCCAGTTTTTGCTTTCTGTCACAATAATTTTGATAACTTTTCAGACAGAACAAATTCAGTGAGTGCCTACAGAAGCTTTTCTTTCCCATGCTCTCTCCAGTTGGCACCTAGTCTGCTCCTGGATGAGTCCTGTCTTCCTGCCCTGTCACCACACAGGACTATCTTTTTAAAATCAGTTAGATTTAAAAATCCCACTTTCAAGGGTGCTGCCTGATGCTCTGCACTGTGAGGGAGATAAAAAATGAACAGCTGCCCTCCTTCTTACCAGCCCCTTGTCTTCTCTTGAGGCATCGAGACCTCAGGTCTTGCTGAAAAGAGGAAGAGAATTGGGCATTTGTGTTTCCTAGCCCAAAGCAAAGCCCCTCATCCCTCTTTCCATTCTGCAGTGTTAGTTGTTATCTTGGCAGGATTCTCACTGATATGTACAGGTGTTGAAATTAAAGAGATTTTTTGGACTCTGACACTCCACAGAATCAGAGAAGGTGTTTGCTGAAACACAGATCGGTCTGTGGCTGTTCCAGCTTGTCTGCTTTTACTTGGGGATTATGAACAATCACAGTTGTTCTTTTTCTCTGATATCTTGGGTTTTTTATGATAACAATGTATTCTAGCTCCATTAAAGGCAGATGATGGCCCTGGCAGTGGCTGAGCAGTTCCCTGGAGTGCAGGAATGTTGGGAAGCAGCACAGTCACATGTGGACATTGGCTCAGGGCAGGGTTGTTATGAAACAAGATGGGAAATGGGAAACAAAGTGGACCTAAATTTTCCCCCCAGTGTCTGCACTGACCAGAAAGGTGTGCAGGGGGTTGTCACCAGGAGTCCTGGGCAGTTTGGCAGTGATGGGACTCAGCAGGGATGCACTGATGATGTGCTCTGCACAAAGGGACTGCTCTTGTGGCTTTGCAGGGCTCAGGTGCCATGGACCAGCCTTGTCCAGGAGAACTCCCTGTCCTCAGCAGAGCCATCCTGACATCCTTGAAGGGGTTCTGGCAGGAGCTGTTTGATTCTGAGGATTGATCCCATTAAAATGCAGCCTTTTTTACTGGAGACTGGTTGATTAAGGTGTGCTTTACCTGTGTGACATCTCAATTTGGGGGGAGACAGCTCTCCAGACACCCTTCAGGATGGACACTAACACAGATCAAGGAGTGGCTTTAACACTTCAGGCAGAGCATTTTGGAAGTGGGGGAATGAGTTTTGCAGTAGGAACCACTACCATAAATGTTACCACGTCTGTGATTTCACTTACAAGAACAAGAAGCTGAGAGGGAGGTGTAGGCAAGTGGCACTCAGGGTTTAAAGGATCCATTTGTACCAAGAAACATCAAAAGTCACACCTTTCCACAATCCTCCAGGATTTTGTGATCAGTGAGATGCAAAGGTCTTCACAAAAGACAAGCACAGCAAGATGTAGTTCTTACTCCTGCCCCATGGATGGTTTTCAGTTTTAATTAGGTGACCTTCTAAATGCAGTCTAAGGACCTGTAGGGTCATGGACATGAGGTGTTTCCTTAAGTAAAAAAATTCTTAAAATAATTTAAAAATATAAGACAAAATCAGATTTTATCAAAGGCATAAAAGGAAAATAAACTCTATTCCCTTTTACTGGGTACTGTGGGATTTTTGTGGGGCTTGCTAGTTTAGGAAATATTTAAAAATTGAAGAATAATTTTCAGAATAGGAAGGAGCCTTCACCACTCTGCATGACTGAAGGGATCTGTGTGGCCTCACGTGCCACTCCAGGGAGCACAAAGAGAATTTTTAATGAAGTCTTAATCTCTACCCTGATGTGAAATCCTCTCTGGACGTGTTTCCTTTGATTACAGACCCAAGTGTCTGTAAGAAATGCTAGTTAGAAAGCAGCTCTGTGTATACATCTCATTATACAACCTGACTGATTTTGGGAATAAGTTATCCAAAGTTTTAAGAAACTTCTCTTTTGTGTTTGTGGGGTTTGGGGGATTTTTGTTTTGGTTTAGTTTTTTGGTTTGGTTTTTCATTTGTTTTGGTTTTGGCTTGGGTTTTTTCTCAGTTTTGGTTGTGTTTGTTTGGGTTTGTTTGGGTTTTTTCCATCCTTTTTAATCTGAATCTGGAAGCCACATCCCTGTATCACAAACACAGTTCATGTCCTAAACCTTAGTTGGTAACATCTTTAATCAAACTCACTGCCATGAAGTGTTTATCTGGTAATTCATCCTCAGCAGCTCTGGAAAGGCAGCGTGGACCTATGACTTCTTTTATACTCCCTAATTCCAGAAAAACTTCAGTCCTGAGTGTCCCTAAGCCCTGAGAGTCGCCTTGCCCCGTGACACGGGGCAAACCAATTGCTGTGTTTAGATTTTATTTAATGTTACCTGGCCACGTGCTAAGTGTGGTGGGAGAAGGGTCTGGTTGAGGCTGACAAAGAGCAGAGAAATGTCAGAGGCCCCAGAGCAGAGGAGCTCCATGGCTTGGGGCAGCTGGGGCAGAGCTCCAGCACACCAAACCATGAGGAATTTGATTCCATTTGATTCAATGTGTTTCCAAGGTCTGAAAATACAGTGTGAGAGTGCAGACTGAGAGCAAGTTGAACTAGATGATTATAAACTGCTCAGGAGATAATTCTGACTTTATGGAACTCCCTAGACCAGTGACTTCTTTGGGTTTCCCCACAGAATAACTTGAAATTTTTAAGCAGTGTTTGCTCCATAGATACAAAAAATTGCTTCTGAAATTACTTTGATGTACACTGAGTTTTATCTACTTCTGTTGGGCTATGGAATAGTTTTTCCTGTGTTATCTGTTGTCATCTTTCTGATGTACTGAGATTTGTATTAGCTTGTTTCCCCAACATTCTGAGGAGGAGATAAATAAATGCCTGTAACTCTGAGAGTGAATGCAGAGTGATAACAAAAGAATATGCCTTCAAAAATGATGGATTACCATAAGAATGTGCATGTTTGCTGTTGTAGGTATAAACCAGCCTCATAAATTTACTATCAAGACAAGAATCTACCACGAAGATGTTGAGCCCTTCCTCCTTTCAAAAAAAAAATTTTTGATTAATATGGAAATATTTGATTTGATTAAAATGGAAATTTGTGGATTCTTGTCCAGAGAAAGCTAATGCTGTAATGGGAGAAGGGAAGGATAAAAGATTCTTGTCTTGCTGAAAGAACTCAGCTCACAGGGGAAGAGATTATAGGATTTCCTATGAACAGTCCTGGGTTGATGAACAATTCCCTTGTAATCTTGTAATGTTTTAACCAAAAAATTGCTACCCCACCTGTGTATTTTTGTGGTACATTGTGTTTGAGTAGGTTTATTTTACTGTCAATACTGATTCTCTGTAGTTTCTATTTTGAGGGTAATTTTTGAGGAATTTCCTCTTAGAGACAAAACCTTAAGTTTGCTCCTTTGGTTAAAAAAAAAAGAACATTTAGAACATAAACCTATGAATGTATCTCTGTGTGTATCCTGTTTAGGAACACATTGATTTACAGTAACTATAATCCTATATTTGGGGTCTGGAGTGCTTATATTAAAGAAAATCCATCATGATGACAATGTAATAAATGTAATATGCATGTTGAAATGAAAAATATAATTCATTTTGATAAGCCTTATATATCCCATATTACTGTGTTCTTTGAGGAACATTCTCCCTGTTCTCTTTCTCTCTCTTAATATATGTCTAAAGTCTTTTCCTTATGTCTTTCCTACCTAGCATCACCCTCTCCTTGTTCATTTTCTGTCCAAAGCAAAACCCTTCAGAGCAAATCTATGTTGAATTCCTACTACTCAGGTACTAGTGCCAGACTTTTCTTTCATTCCTAAATTTTCTTTGCTTTTGTACGTTACCCAATATAACCTATAATAGACCGAGGCTTCTGAGTGTGAGACACAGCTAACCTTGTTTTCATTTTCTGTAACTTTTCTTTTCCTGTTGATCCTCTGTTGATTTCCATTCGTGTGGGTGAACGGAATTCCATCTCAAAGTTTCATCAGACACCGTCCCATCGACCACGCTGTTAGGTAAGAGGACAGGTATGGTGTGCTGGAGAGCAAACACACTCTGTGTCATAAAAATAATCACTGGCAAGTGTTTTGCCTTCCAAAATCAGAATTAATCCTGTGGTTGTGTGTTAGTAGAAAACTTTTGTTTCATTCGTGTTTTGTTATTGCTCTTAATTGCTTTCAAAGGAAAGAAAAATTCAGAAATTAAGGTTTAGTGATTTTTTTCAAGTATATGTTGTTTCTTTTCATCAATGAGATTTGGGGTACATTGGCCCACTAAGGCTGCCTTGCCTTAGGCTTAGTTCTGACTGCTGCAGGTGGTTCTGTGCAGCTGACACAGAACAGTTTGGGTTGGAAGGGATCTCTAAAGGCTCTCTAGCCAATCCCCTGCCATGGGCAGGAACACTTTCCTATAGACCAGATTGCTCAGAGCCTCTCCAACCTCACCTGGAACATTTCCAGGCACGGGGCATCTTCCACCCCTCTGGGCAACCTGTGCCAGTGCCTCACCACCCTTTTTATATAAAGTTTCTTCTTTGTATCTAGGCTGAATTATCCTGTTTCCATTTAAAACCAATCCCTTGTGCTGTGTGTGAGGCTCAGCTGTACCTGCCTCAAGGGTTGCAAATTTAAGTGAGGATTTGCATGTCTGCAGCAGGTGGGAGCTTGCAGTTTGGGGTAAAGGTGCATCTATAAAGGTTGTTTGGAGAAATTCTTGGCTGGGTTTTGGGAAGTGGCTCCACCTGATTCTGTGTATGCTGAGAGTTAAATGCTAAATCTTTCAGGCAGTCAGGTATGGATTTGAGAGGATAACAAACAGGCAGGTCCTGAGAGGCAGAGGCTGTTCTGTGGCTGTAAAAGACATCAGAAAGAAATTCTTCCCTGTGAGGGTGGGCAGGGCTGGCACAGGGTGCCCAGAGCAGCTGTGGCTGCCCCTGGATCCCTGGCAGTGTCCCAGGCCAGGCTGGACACTGGGGCTTGGAGCAGCCTGGGACAGTGGAAGGTGTCCCTGCCATGGCAGGGGTGGCACTGGATGGGCTTTGAGTTCCCTTCTCACCCAAACTTCTCTGATTTATGAATTCCTCTGCTATGGAGCAGAAAGGTGATCTGTGGCTGATCAGAATCTAGCCAGGATTTATCATTTTGGATTATCTACAATGAATGTTCCTTCCAGACACAGTAATGTACCATGACTGCTTCAAACATCACTCAGAACACGTGGAAGGGCCACTGTTAGACCAGGTAGAAATGACAAGCAGTGGCTGTTCCTTGGTTGACAGCCTGGCACAGAGGCTTGGAGGGGCTGCCACAACACACACGTCAGTCCTGCTGCCTGCCAAAATGCTGATGGAAAGGAATGAGGCCTCTGAATGGGGTGGGGAAGGAAAGGAATCCATTTCCCAGAAGGTTTGTTTCATTTCCCAGAGACACAGTGTCATCAACAGAAAAGCCTAAAGGCAGGTTTCTCTTCTGGCTGTGCTTTAGAAACAAGGCCCTGACCTGCAGTTTGATGGAAGATATCAAACTCTCTCAGACTGGCATCTGGGAAAACCTGGCCATTCTTTGGGGGAGCTGTTTTCCCCCCTCTGCCCTGATGGAATTAAGGTGTGAACTGCACTCGTGGTACTCTGAAGCTCAAGGAGCAATGATCAGGTTCCCTCTGTGCTTCTCCTGGCAAAGCAAGAGCCCCCAAAACTTTTAAAACCCCAAATTTTACAGATGAAAAAGAGGAGATAGGAATCTAACCAGCCTTGTGATTACATATTCAAAACTATTTCAAATTTCTACTAAGCACTATATCTGAGTAAGGATTGATATCCTTGTTTTACACATGGGAAGTTAAGTATAGAGCACTTTTAAGAGATGAATAACACAGACTGGTCACTGTCCCAGTTCCACCTGAATTTAACAGCCTGTGAAACAGCCTCTGACATTGGAAAATTTTTTATCTTGTGACTTGCAGACAAATGAAAGCTTTGGTGTTCTGGTTTCTCAGACAAATCCATCAGATGTCGGATATTGCTGTATGAGCAAAATAAGTTTAATTTTTGATGCTCATTAATATTAATTCCCAGGGAAGAAAAACATATCTTGGAAAGGGATCAGTCATCCTACTACCAATATCTATGCCTGCAGTTCAGTACTGTTTGTGCCCATCTATAATGCTTTCTGCTAATAAATGTTCTATATTTGCAGTATTGCATGGTTCCCTAGGCTTGGCTGTGACATATAAAATACAGGAGATTTGGGATTTGCCTCTATCCCAATTCCTGATTAATAATTTTTTATTAATGCATATTTTTAGTGAAGTCATCTTGTGGACAACTCTGGATTTTAAATGTTTTGCTCAAACATCTTCACTAGAGAAGGGAATATCTAACACTAAAAAATAAATGAGGTAGATTTCTACTTGAAGATGAGGTAGCACAACTTTAGGGATTACTTTTGGGGAAAAGATTCATGTCCAGTTGCTCTTGAAGATGTTCAGCAGATCTCATCAGGGCATCTCTTCAGGGGAACCAGCATGTCCTTCCCTTGCCTCAGTTGGCATCTCCTGGCAGCAGGAAAGGACTTTTAGCCTTGTTCTTGTTCCAGCTGCTCATGAGGATGTTCACAAGGGCCACTGCCCTCCGGAGAGGACAGGGATTTTAGTGCCTTGCAGATGGGCAGAACAAGCAGAGAGAGCTCTCTGACACAAAGTCTCAAACAAAAAATTGGCTGTGCTTAAAAAGACATCGAAATTTTCCACGGATTTTTAGACTTCTGCAGCTTTTTTGCCCACCCTTTAATGAGTCTGCTGTGTGTACATCTCCAACTTAGTTTGAATAACTCGAAGACGTTAAGAAACCAGTATTGCTGCTTTAGCAGGTGCCTCCATCACTTTTTAAATTGTGGGATGAGTTATTTCTATGCAAGGGATGCTCAAAAATTCAATGGCTTGAGCTGCTCAGTTGCATCAGAAGCCTCCCAGGCCAAGTCAGCCTCTAATAAGGAGCTGTGGGAGAGGTTTTCCCAGCACTTGCTGTGCTGAGGCTGCCCAGGAGCAGAGTGAGCACCAAAGGTTCAGACCTCTGTAGGCTGGGCCTTGAGCTGAATTTCTCTTGCATTTCTTCCTGCCTGCAGAGGTGGAAAACCCTCTCTTCCAGTCTTTAGTGGCTTGTAGTTCCATGTGCTGTTCTGAAGTTTGCAGCTGTTTTCCAGATGTGACTGAATTTCTCTGGAAGGGGGGTTGGTCTGGCAGCCTCCTCTCACTGAGAAGGCAAAGACAGATTTCACTTGGTGAGGTCCACACATCCAGAGAGCTTCACAGTTACATTTGTACCAAATAATCCCAAATCATTGCTCACCTCACCAAAGCATCTTCTTTGCATCTTTAACAGGATTTTCTGCTATGCTATCTGATGAAGAAAATGTAATAGTTTTTATAAGATCAGAATAGTCTTATGTAAGAATACGCTTATAATACTAGAATACTCTAATATTCTTAGTAGAATACTCTTATAGGATTAGAATACTCTTATGTTTGGTGCTAACCAAGCAGTTCTTACAAAGTTCTAGAATCTAGAGAAATATTACTTACTTTTAAAAATCATTTTGAACGTGTGGTTTCTTCATGCCGTTGAAATGAAAGGTGCACCCTCTGTGCTCTGTCAAGCCTGCTGTCAGAAGGCTTTGTTAAGGAATGTGCCCTTTCAGAGCTCAGTTGATATCATTAGATAAATGATGTTTTGCCTTTGGTTTGCCATACCACTGTTGGTATTGTAGATAAAATATTAGTGCTGGGTATTTATCATGTAATAAAGCCTTGACACACACACAAAAAAAGCAAATTATTTTTCATCTTGCACCGTATCCCTGGTGTGAGGGGAAGAGGTATTAGCCATGCTCTAGTCACCCCTGGAAGATGTCAAAGAATTGACAGCCTTTGCTCTAGTGTGGAGAGACTGGCTCTGTGTGTAATTAAATCTACCACAAACACCACTCAAAACATAATTTATTTTGTGCAAAGGGTGTCGCATCGCATCTTATCACTTGCCAAGGCTAAGAGAATAAAAAATATAAGCAGATATGATAGCCCTGTCATTTCAGCCACAGGAGGAATTTGTGGACATTAAAGCAAAAGTTTTGAGAGAAGCTTCTCCACATGTAGAAGATGCCACATCAGTGCAGCTTCGTTTTCAGTTGTAAGAGGCACGGGTGAGTTTTCTGGCCAGGAGACAACACCATACTCTGTGCCCAGATGTCCATTTCTCAGTCTAACTGTGTTTACAAACCAAATGATCTCTATAAAAGCATCTAAAGCTTCAATCCCTAAAGGTGCTCTGGATGAGCAGGACCCTTCCCAGCAGCCTTACTGGGATGTTGCACAGGGCTCTGATCATACAGAGTCACTTCCAGACTGGCAATCTAATTTCTCAGCTGCTCTCGTCTTGTCTGTGACATTCATGGAGAAGTTCATCAGTTTTTCTGTGGAGGCAAACATAGTTATTTTACTTGTCTGAGTAGCACAAAAGTACAGAACACGAGGTGATGTAGCAGCAGGCAAGCAATAATAACTCACTGTCAGGGCTGCTCATCAAGCAGGGCAGGATTCCACTGAAGTGACCTCTGTCCCTCTCTGCATGCTGGACTCTCTTACTTCTTGGCACAATAAGACCTCAGAGTTGATTTCAGCAAGTTCATGATTATTTCCCCAGCAAAGACACTCACAAAAAGCAACATTTCATCAGCAGGGAGAATTTGCAATATGTGAATTGCATTGTTGCATTTGCTTATCTGCAGTTATACTCTAAACATATGAACTGAGATACCTGAAGAGTTTCCCAATCAGCCAAGTTATGTAAGAGACAGGGAATCATTAATTTGTTGTCTTCTACAAAATTTCAGGGTGTTGGGTGAACTCTCAAGCTGATCACAGAATGGTTTGTGTTAGAAGGAATTTTAAAGCTCCTCTCCTTCCACCCCCTGCCATGGGCAGGGACACTTCCCACTAGACCAGGCTGCTCCAAGCTCCATGCAGCCTGGCCTTGGACACTGCCAGGGATGGGGGAACATGAAAATCCAGAATCAGAACATCTGAGTTGGCAAATATGGGGAGTAAGAGTGGCACTGAGAAGGGTTAACAAACAAGCTGGCAACACACTTTGCTGTCACAAGCTGCTGATATTAGAAACAATCCTGTCATAAACAGCATGTTCCCAGCCACATGCAGAATACCTGCCTCATTTACAGCTGCACAAATAGAACTGTGGAAAATTGGAAGTTGATCTAGGAAGGAACGGGAGCCCTGAGCAGCCTGCCCTAATAAGGCTTCAGAAGCTCTCAATTGATTTACTTTATCAAAGAGAAACTGAAGAAGTCATTTGATCAGCGTCTGCATGGGTCAGGATTTCAAATGCTCAGAGGGCTCTTTAATCTAACAGAAGGTATAATAAGATTCAGTGCCTGCAATCGAAGCTAAGCAAAATCAAATTGCAATTAAGAAATGTTTAGACAGCAAGGGTAATTAACCATTGCCACAATTTTGGGGGTCAGAATGGAATTACCAGCTCTTGAAATGTTTTAATTTGAATTATTTCTTGGAACAGTATTCCATCTTTGGAATGCAGTGAAATATGGGGGTGTGGGTTCCTATCAAAAGCACAAGTACATATGACTAGGATAAATGTGCATATGAAATATAGTTTTAAAAAAACAAACCCTGATGCACGATCCTGTACATTTAGTAGTTTCTGAGTATTAGAGTGAATTATTTCTTGCAACTTTTCCATTTAAAAAACTGTTTTGCTTTTCTCACTGGAAACTCACCAAAGGCACACATGGTTTATTGGCACTGCCAAAAATTTAGTGAAAAGTCTTGGCCAATTTGTCCTGCAAAGTCATCCTCATTTGCAGGAGACTGGGGACATGTTTGTGAGAAGCAGACAGAGAAAAGGAACTGTGAAAAATTACTTTAACTTGCCTTTAGTGCAGCAATTAAAGCAGCAGCCTGACTTTGCTGGAATCTTTGTTGTCTTTCCCAGTAATAATGGTGCCAGAAGGAGGGAGATGTGCATTAGAGCTGCAAACAGAAGGAAAAGCAAAGCCTGTTTGCCAGCCCTCCAAAGGCCCTTTTGGTTGACTGTTCTAGTGAGAGATCAGCTCGCTGCCACCTCCCCTCCCACGTGCATTTTGAATTGCTCACTAAATTGCTGCAAACACATGGTGAGAGGTGCCTGGCCCTGCCGAGCTCCTCATTACCCGTGCTTAGCTCCACTCGTGGGGTGATTACATGGAGAGGGAACAGTGTGTTACTTGCATCGGGCTTTATTAGCAGAACATGGAAGTGTTAAGCTCAGCTCACACACAGCAATTTGTGCCCAGAAAAAGCCCCTCTGCATTCTCCTTGGCCCAGATAAAATGCTGGTGGGAGTAACTGAGAGTCCAGAGGTGCTGCTGCTGTTGGGGTTGGGATTTTTTGCAGGTAGCACAGGTGCCATGCATGGTGTGTTTGTCACAGAGGACTGCAGGAGGTGATGGCCCAGTTCCAGCTGTGTGTCCCAGGCTGGAGAGGAGGGTGACCCACATTGTGTGATGCTTTTCTTTAAGCAGAAACAGCTGACTGGGTGAGGCACACAAATGGTGCTGCCACAGATCACACTGAATTCTCCCCTGGGAGGGTGGGCAGGCCCTGGCACAGGGTGCCCAGAGCAGCTCTGGCTGCCCCTGGATCCCTGGCAGTGCCCAAGGCCAGGCTGGACAAGGCTTGGAGCATCCTGGAATACTGAAAAGAGATGGACCCTTCCAAGCCCAAACCCTTCTGTGCTTCTGTGCCACAAGAGCTGTTCCTGCAGTCAGTGGGATTTGCACCAATTTTTATCCCATTGACCAAAGAGTCACTATGTGACCAGTTGTCTGTATGGACTCAAAGGCCAGACACAGACCCCTCTTTGCTGCTGAGCACCTTTTTCTAGTCCCAGCTCTGTACCATGAGTGCCTACCTTAAGGGAAGTTACTCTGGAAAGAAGGGGTCATCGCTTTCCTGGCTCTCACCTCTCCCTGTGACACATCTCTCTGAGAACAGAGCCAAGTACACCAGAATTAAAGGAACTGATGAAGAGAGAAATTAGCAATTGCCTGCAAAGGAGCTGTCTGATCTGAGCTCCATTTTACAAGTCGCCTGTGCTCTGCATGTGCCCTGCCTGAATTAGCACCAGAACCACACATTAGTTTTAAGACTCCCTCTGCAATTGGGATCTCGTAATGTTTTTTAATTGGGGCTGATAAAAATGTGGCATTACTTGCAGGTTCTTCAGAGAAGCCAATTGTGAAATTGGGTTTGTATTAAACCTAATGATGGAAAATTAAGCATAGTACGTCTGTCGGAAATGGCCTGCGATAAAAATCTTCTCCTTTTCATTACAGGAGGTTAATAGGGAATAGGGGAGCAAAGATGCACTGGGAAAGCGAATCCAACTAGGGGAATTAATAAGCCTTGAAATTCCCTCTGTTCAGAGTTCTCTCACTGTCATTAGTCAGAGCATTAGGGATGATTATACAAATGCTTTGGATGTTACTCTTCCTTAAATCCCAAATTTATTCACATTTTGTGTGTGAGGGTTGCTTTGCTTGAGCCATAGTTCTGTAAATCTCTGAGTGTCCTGGGAATGTGACTGTGTTTATGAGAACTTGGGACTCAGAAATCCTGAAATTCAGGAGTGTAATCTTCAAAGCAGATGATCACTGTGCTAATTTATTTCAGAGCAGCAGGCTGTGTTCAGCATCTCTGATAATTCACCCCCCAGCCGTGTTAATGTCCCACTGGTGATGAGCTTGCCCTGCGGCAGTGTCCACTGCTGGCATTCCTGTCTCCTCACAGTCCTGCAGCTACCAAACAGAGCATATCCCTGCTTTCACATCTTCCCCATAGCCAGTAATAAACCAGCTGAAGGGCTGTTTGTCATATCTGTGCTTTGCCAGCTGCTGAGGATGCAGTGGGATGTGCTCAGCTCTCTGCTCCTGCCCACCTTTGCAGCCCCTGCCCAGACACCACCGTGCTTCCTCTGTTTACAAGAGCATTCCAAGACTGTTTCTGCCTCACAGTAATCACCCTGAAATTGCAATTGGATTTATTTATTCTTTATCCCTTTACAAACGTGGCTGTAGTGTTGCTCTCAAGGGGTGATGTTTCAGCTCTTTGTCAGTGAACTTTGTAAGAAAAACAAATGCCGTGTGTGGAAGCTCTGGGGGGTTTTGTGAACAATCTGTTTTGTGAATAATCATTTTCTGTTTGCTAGCACCTTGGTTTGGGTAAGGCCAGAAAGAATTGGTGAAGGCTGTATGTGTGAAAGGAGCTGAGCATCTCAGATCACTGCACTCATAGGAAAAAAAGCAGTGCTGTATTTGGCCAACTACTTAAATTTGGACAGCTCTGCTAGATAAGTCATTGAATTTTTCATTTAGTCTGAATTCCTGTTGCTAAAGATTGTTACAGTCAGTTTTCATTTAGTCTGAATTCCTGTTGTTAAAGATTGTTACAGTCAGTTGTTTGGTTATTGAAGTTATTATTTAAGTTCTTTTCTGTTAGTTCACTGGTAATATTTTGTTGTGCATACAGTTTTGCTGGGGATATGAGGTTGCAATTCCATCTGCATAGTGATAGATTTCTTTAAATTCACTTCTTACAAGAAAAAACCCTTTTCTATTAAGTTTACATATCTGAAATTTAAATTTCTGCACACAAGATAACTATATTTTTGCGCTGTTTTTTTTTTTTTTCCTGATGATATTACATCTTTGTTATTGACATACAAAGTTTTAGGCCTGAACTAGCAGAGCAGTTGATTTTGCCTCAGCATCCTGACTTCCTTGAAATGCTGATCACTTGCTTGCTGTTCACTCGGGTCCCTCTCAGCTATCTCATGCTGTACACCCCAAATCCTGCCTGAATCTCTTGCTCATCTCTCTGTATCTCTGAGCTGTGCTCTTTGCAGGTTGGGGAAGGTTTGGAGCTGCTCTGGGGAGCTCACCCTTGATGTGCCATATCCTTGTTAGCCTGGCTGGCTGTTCACTCTCTTCCTGTCTTTTTGGGTTTGTTTGCTTGACACGAAAATTATTCAGGCGTGATTGAGTCTTTCTAGGCATTTTTTTTTAATGTGTGTTTTTTATTCATTTCTTTACTTCCTTTTGCCTGCACCCACCTGCGGGGCGGTGTTAAATGAACAGAGAGAGGGTGAAACTGGGAATACCAGGTATCTGAAAGCTGCTTTTGCCTCCTGTCTCTCCAACAGACAGCAGCCACGGGGAGCTGGCCCAGCCCACGCTGACCATCCAGACCCACCCGTACCGCAGCTGCGAGCCCGTGGAGATGTCCTACCCCCGGGGACAGTTCCAGCCTGCCATCCGAGTGGCAGACCTGCTGCAGCACATCACCCAGATGAAGAGGGGACAGGGCTACGGCTTCAAGGAGGAGTATGAGGTGAGAGGAACCTTTCCTCACGTGCCTGAATAGGGAAGTTGCACTCAGGAGGGGTAGAAGCTTAGGAGAGCTTCTTTTCCTTTTTCACCCTCCTAATCCTTTTCTTTCTGATTTTGGTTCTGAGGGCAGGATTTTGCAGCGCTGTCAGCCTTTGGAGGTCCTCTATTCCAAAGAGAAGGTGTTTCCTGCAGCAGTAAGTGGGTGACACTGTGCTCATCCCTCTGTCCCATAAAGAGCAGACAGTAAATACTCAGCAGGTGCTGAACCCAACGCAGGACACGCAGTCCCACAGTCCCTTCCTTGTCTGTGCTTTCCTTGAGTAGTGTGAGCCAGGCTGTGAGAAGAGGAAGGGGTTTTGCCTGAGCTTTTTGGGAGCTCCAAATCCGCTCTCATAATTGATCCCATTAAATCACAGTGCAATGACCTGAATGCACAATTGTCAAGTCAAGGGCAGGTATTTGTGTAGCTAAAATGAAGGTGAAATTTTCCAATATGATCAAACCTGCGGCTCAGAACAGGCTTGACTGATTTCCTCTACCAAATCCATGTGAGGAGAGGAGTAAAGGGTGAGCTGGAAAAATGAAAGCTGCCCTCTTTCCCCTCACCTCTTCCCCCTGCAAGCAGGAATGACCAGGAATATAATCCACATGACCAGAAGACATGATGTTGGGGATGATTTGGAAGAGGAAAACACATTTAGAGCAGAGCAAACAGAAGAGGGAAATAGCATCAAACATATGTGAGACTCAGCCCTAGCAAGAGATAATTATAATGAATGCAATAAGCTCATGGGAAGGCAATAAGAAATTAATATGCATAGTGGCATTAAAGCTATTTAAAAATAATGTAACAGCTGTGAAAATAAGTTACTTAATGAAAACAGCTCACTTTTCCACCCTGCAAGCAAGAGTCCATGGGGTTTGTCTCCTCAGTGCTGAGGTTTGCTGTAATTGAGAGCCTGTCGTTTCCTGGTCCTCACCAGGGAGCATTTTTTAGATCAGATGGCATCAAAAACTGTCATAGCAAGTGTTTCTGAAAGTGTCTGCTAACCAGGTCTAGGCACTCTTGCCCCAAAATCAAGCATGCTAATTAAACTATCAATATAAAGAGTTTTGTTTAATATTGGAAAAGGGTAATAATTCTCTGAGGAGATTTACTTAGCCCCCTTGGCCTCCATTTCCATGAGGAGTACCCAAAACTGCATTGAGCACAATTACAGAAGCCCTGAGACCCCGTTCTTGATGTTGAAGAAGAAAACAGGTGCTGGCATAGATGTAATTTTCTGGGGCTGGCATCGGTAATTATCAAAATAGCACATTAGCATGAAAAATGTCAATGCAACTTTCAGCTCCACGAGCTCTGCCTTCCCCACAAAGTGCTGTCTGCAGACGGTGATGACATTCCATCGATTTGCATAATTCCTTTCTCTGCAAGGAGTGGCCTGGAGAATGCCACAGGCTCACAAATCCCCTGGGCCATTCCAGGGATCCATCAGCCCTAATTGCAGGCGTTCCCCATGGTGGGATGTGGGGCTTGGGGCATGGGATGGAGGCAGCACTTCAGCTCCAAATAGCAGTGGGGAGGATGTCGGGGAGCATGAGAGCTCCTGGAAGGTGGGAGGTTTGAGCTGCTTGTGAGTGGGGGCTCAGCCTGGGATCTGCAGGAGCACAGAGCTGCAAAATCGGCTTTGCAAGATGCTTTGCAGAGCAGCTGATCAAATCTCGAGAAAGAATTTGATGTCTCTTTTAAAATGTGTTTTCAGACACTAATATCAGTGTCACCTCCAAATACGCTCTCTTTTTTTTCTTCTGAGGAGCTGATTTTCTACTTACTTTGCAAATTGATAGCATAAATTGCAGCCTGTTTAGTGACATGTTACCAAATAATTTTACTCTCATGAAAAATCACTTTGAACGGAGCATATCAGTCACACATGACAATCTCTTATCTCTGTGCGTTCCCATTTCCACCGAATAACCTGGAAATTGCATTCCATATTTGTTTAAAGGATGTCTGCACCTACACGTTTTGGAGCACAGGCAGCTTGTTTTGCTGAGGGCATCCAGAAAAATATTCCTGGTAGTTCCTGGGAGAGCTGAGAAACAGGATGGGATTGTGTGAGGGGTGTCAGTGCTGGTGTGAAATGAGTGTAAACTGGGTGTGAATATGGGAAAATCTGTCAGCACTCCCCTGTCTGTGTTATTTTGGGGCTTCCTGCTGCACCTGAGGGCAAAGTGTGACTTTGGGCCTTTTCGGCTGCTGCTTCTGTTCAGTGATAAAACAAATGGAACAGAAGAGAAAAATCTGTCAGTGGCGCTGGGTGTAGGTGGCACTGTTTGGGGTTGGGAATAGCCATAAATATTTAAATGGGACACATTTAAATGTCACCAGTTCCTTTTCCAGAACACATCAGCTCTGATTTGTTGGGAGCTGTGGGACCAGTCCCACAGACTTATTGCAAGCACCAATTACTGGCTAAGGAGATAATAAGCTTAATTATCCAAACTCATTTTCCATTATGATTTAGGATGTCACTAATGCACATTCTCCTGCTGCATTACTGAGACTGTTCAGTTATTTCAGATTTTGTGGCTCCTTTCCTCAAGCATCTTAGTGCTGAGAGCCTTCAGATTGTGGAATTCACCCCTGGACTTTAACCCCTTAATTTCTGCCTACACATTTTCATGTGGCCAGAAGAATAGATCTGGTGGTCAGGGTTATGATGGGACACTGCAGAATGAATGGCTGAAATATCTTTTCTTCAGATTACGTTTTTTAGCCCAGGTAATTTTTAATTCTGGTTCCCATCAGACTTGTGGGAAGAGTTTTTCCACCACTGTTGAGAAGAGAATGGCTTTAGGGAGAGGGCTAGGGCTCTGTGGAACACTTTGAGATGAACAGAAAGGCTTTGAATTGATGTCGTTGCCTTTGGCAACAAAACTGCAGCATTGAGGTGGATCAGTGAAAATGAGGGATTAGAGTTTTTGTATTTAAATTAAAAGCAAACAGCCAAGTAACTAAATGCATCCATCCAAAATTTAAATTGGCTTGCAGTGAGCCTCAGTTAAATGGGAACACTTCAGTTACGTCTGGGCCGTGGTGCTTAGGAAGCTTGATTGAGATGAAGCTGACTTTGAGAGATCTATCCTTGTAATTTCAGCTAAAATTTAGATCAATTTAGTTTAAAAAGCTTCACTGTAGCCTAAATTCCACTAGTGGGAAGATACTTCAGTGTAAATTTCACAAAACTTCTCTGAGAGAAGTTTAGAGAGTTTTACAAGTAGAAGATGCCTAAAAATCAAGTATAGTTTTTTTAAACACTAAAATTCTTCTGTTACCAAGTCAAAGAAAGAAGGGGGAGAATTTCCTGTGTAAAATGGAATTTGTAAAATTAAATACCAGTCCCTGGGTGATCTGTCCTGTTTTAACATTGCTGATAATGCAGATAGAAACAGGACTCTTTTTACGATTATAGAAATATTTATTGTACCCAAAAAATCAGAAGGAACAGAGCATTCCCTGTGCTCCTCATTTTCTGGATGCAAGCCCATTATAATCCATATTCTTGTCTTTATTCTTAAGGTAATTCCAATTCTTGGTGCTGCATTTTTAGGGATCTCATGGGCAAATTATTTGGGTTGTACATGGAGTTACTCCAACGTGTTCATCTGGTGTTTATAGAAGTGGGGATATAAGGAGTGCCCCTGTAAAGGTGGTTTGTGTTCATCACCAGCCAGAGCTGGGCTCCCTCCCTTCAGAGCTGGTCAGTTCTGTGGAAAGCAGGGATTTCTGTGGTATTGAGTGAGATGAAAAATCCTGGACTCTCAAATCTTCAGAAGCTCAATCAGCAAATATAAAAACATCCATTTCAGTGGAGAATTGCATGTTCAAATCAAATGAAAGGATATGGTTTGTTGAAAAGGGATTTATTAGACCTGAATATATTTTCTCTGGCCAAGATAGCTGCTCCCATGTGGAAGTCGTGAGAAAGGATTTTCTTTTATTTCTTTTTCTTTTCTGATGGCTCTGATTAGGCACCTAATGACTGTTGCCATTCTTGGTCAATCTGCTGTAGTTCGATATTAGTGGAAAAATAAGGCACCTTTTTCCTTGCTCTTTGAAGATGAAAATGAGCCTTCTTCACCTCCTTTCTTTTACTCAGGGATTTTTTTTTGTTGTGTGTGGGTTTGTTGGTTGGATGTTTTTCCTCAGAAGATGAGCTGCTCTTTGGAAACAATAGTCTGCAAAGGAAATATATGTGTGATCAAAGCCCTCACCAATTACAGAGTTATTACTCTTTCTCCTGGGCTTTTGAATAGGAACTCAGTGTCCCTGTCTTTGTCAGCAGTGCTGCAGTGCCTGACATTTTCTGTCCTGGAACCCTTTGGGGGAAATTCACAGTGATCTGCTCTGCCAGGGGTTTGCTCATATTAAGTTTAATTGTAACATCAGTGTTGTAGATCCTAATTGTGTCTCTCTGCTATTGCATTCAGGCACATAATAGACCTGGGTGGCTTGAAGATGAATATAAATTTATTTTGTAATGAATTTACAGCTGTGTCAAGCTACCCGCTGCTGGCTGAGGCAGATGTGATTCTACAATGGCTGTGGTATAAACCCTCTGCAATTCCCCAGGGACCAGAAATAATGAAACTTTCAGTGATGATTTCAGTGATGTAGAATCCTGCAAGGGGGTACATCTGGGAGGAGGCAGATCTAGTGAGGCAGTTCAGCAGGGGCTGCTCTCTTCACCCATGTTTGTTCCAAGGAAGGCAGGACCATCCTCCAGCCTCGTCCTTTGCCAACTGCTGCTTGCCAGGCTCTGCCTTGGAAATCCCTCCTGGACATGTCTCTAGGGTGAAGTGGCTCGTTTGAGGGTGTGCAGAATAGTTGTAGGGCTGAGCTGCAGGGAGGGTGGCACTTTGTACTGCCAGTTCCTTTCCCCTCCCTTAACTAAAAGAGCAGATTTTAGGAAAATGGCTGTTTATTCTCGTGTTTCATGAGCATGCTTTACCTCCTTTTTCCTCTCTTTCCTACACATGATCTAAAACCCTGAGCTGATTTATCTTTCTCCAGAAGAGAAATCCAGCGAATGGCTTGTATTGCATCACCCATTATTAACACAAATAGGTGAAACCACTCTATTTTCAACTTAAGTATGAGAAAGGCTGAGCGCTGGGTTTCAACCATCTGGGTTTTCCTAGAGGTGTAGTCAAGAGAAATCGCCCCAAGCCTTGTTCTGCAGGGGAAATGAGGTTAACTTGTGACTGTGCAGCCAGAAACAAATTCTCCTGATCTTTTCAGACGAGAAGTAGCAGGAGGAAAATGATTCTTAGCTGGCAGAAGCCAAGAGATGCAAATGGTCTGCACTGAGCTCTGCTTTTCACACTAGTGGAGGTGCTCTTTCCTCACCTACAGCTGTTTCCTTGGTCAGATGCTGAACTGTGCAGTTCCTTTATTTTTGCCTTGCTCTTCTTCTTTAGGCGTCTCCACCCGCCTGAAGGCATTGGCCAGGTGTTTTAAACCCTCCCTTATTGTTTATTTTGCAGGCACTCCCCGAGGGGCAGACGGCGTCCTGGGATACGGCCAAGGAAGACGAGAACCGCAACAAGAACAGATACGGAAACATAATCTCCTGTAGGTGTAAATTCACATCAAACCCAGATCTCACCTGTGTGCTGTGGGGAAGGGTGTGTTTGAGAAGCTCACCAGGAGCTGGCTGACAGTGCTGAGTGTTCCATCCATTTGTTACAGGCTTTATTCCTGGGATTTATTTTATTTCATGTTTTTTAATCCTTGTTTTTCGTAACATCACTGCATGATGTTACACATTTTCTACCTGCGTTGCTTTCAGCTTTAGGTTTGTAGCTTGAGGGCTAAATCCTTTTGTCACTTTTTATGTGATGATGTCCCATTTTCTGTCAATTTTCGCTACAAAATCCAGAGCTTGCAGTGCCACAAAAGGGAGCACAAAGGAGCTGCAGATAGATCCGATTTTTAGCTGTGACCCAGAGGCCAGGTTTTCTCCTTCCTTGTGGGCAGTAGCCACTGGAGCAGTCACTGCTTGTCCCCAGAGGGCTGGTTTGAAGGGTGGAACAAGCTTAACTTCTGCCTCAGGATCATAATAAGGCAACTGAAAATGCACTAAAACTTCTTGGCTTATTTCTTTCAGTGATCAGTTCCTGTTGGTGTTACAGGAATATCAATACATAGCAGAACGGGCAGGAAGGGAAGGCTCCATAAAAACATTTAGGTCAGCTTTATTCTCCAAAGCACGACTAAATTCACCTTCCTCATTTCTGTCAGATATTTGTGAAGCCTCTTACAAAATTCTCTCCAAAACTGAGCTTCCCACAAGCTCTCCAGGCAGATCCCCAGTGTTTCATTATTCCTGATAATGACTGGGGAGAGGAGGTGTGAGAATTAATTCTTTTCAAGGGCTCCTGAGTTGCATCAAGTTGGAGAAGCCAAGCTTGAAACCATCAGAACAAGAAATCGGAATATAAATGAATGTGCCATAGATTTTCATGACTGGGAAAATCTATAGAATGCTCTAAGAGCAAAATTAAGTCATGCTGAGTGATTTATTTCCTACTGTATTTTTTTTGTGTGTTAAAAAATGTATTTCTTGTAGAACAAATAGATTTTACTAAAAAAAATTTTAAAACGGAAAAAACCAAACAAACCCAAACCCACCAAAAAAACACCAAAACAGCAGCAACGACAACAAACCCAAAACCCCAATTTCTTCATAAAGAAACCTCACCTCACACATAACTACTCCTCTCTTTGAAGCCTTGAAATAAATGATTCATGTGCCAGTTTTAGGGAATGCCACAGAACATCTCAGTTCAGGGCCCCTGTGGTAAAGATGAAGGAATCTGGAAATGAAGATTGAAGTTTGTGAGCCCTGATGTGATCCCAGTTCTGCTGCTGGTTTGTGTGGTTGTGAGCTGGTCATCAAGTTCACCAGTGTTCTTTAGCCATGTGGAAAATGGAAGTGACACTACTGGAATATTACAATTAGCCTGGAAGTTTTCTTCCTTAATATCAGCTCCACCTCACTGTGAGCTTCCTGTGTCCTAGTGGCAAAGAGAGACATCCAGACAGGCTCTATTTACCTGTCTGTACAATTAACTCCAATTAAATGGGTCTAAAACAGATGAATCCTCTGGATTGAAAGTGGAAGTGCCGTGGTATGATATGAGGAAGGAAATGTGAAAGACTTTGTTTCTCTGTATGATTTTGAGGAAGCACTTGGCATAATTCAAAAGTGGAGATGAAAAGAGGTAAAACTTTGCAAAAGCTTCCATCTCATTTATGCTGAAGGTGGTCACAAAGAAAACCTTGAACTCCAAGTGAAATGTGAGGAGTTCAAGAAGCAAAATCAAGGAAGATAAATGGGATGTTACCTAAAGAGAAGGTGTTCACAAAGACAAATTGTTGTCTAACGAAGAGTGACACGAGCCTTTTGGCTCTGAGTATAAATACAGCAGCAGTGCAGATAGGAGGTGATGAACTTGAATAAGGGAATGCAAAATGTAATCAGAGCTAAGGAACAAGAATCTGCACGGTGTAAAGTGTCAGAAAAGGAGCTCAAGCTTGAGGACTGTTGGGAAAGATTTCGGAATGGGCTTTCTTCTCTTCAAATATTTATCAGAACAAAGAGTTTGAGAAGGAGACAAGGGCTCTTTTAAAAGACAGCAAGGAGAATTTAGAAATGTACAATAATGATATTGAGAAGGCTCAGAAGGGAGAAGGAAAGTAGGATGGCTAAGAAAGGAGCATATCATTTGTCACATATTTTGTAAAATCTTTGCAAAATTATCAGCTGAGCCTGGAGCCAGACCCCACTGGTGGGTGAGCTGGGCAAACTCCCTGAATAAAGTCAGAGTCAGGATCCAGAGCAGAGCTGAGAACAGCAAGGCCGTGGTTCCCTCCAGGCAGGTCATGCAAACAAATTGTGCTCTGTGGGTACAAACTGGGCAAAAGCCTGAGCAGAGGAGGTGGAACACATTTGTAGCCTGAGCTGTTCTGTTGTACTTCAGTTGCAGTGGCTGGTGAAACCCAGAGCAGGCGCTGGTTTCCCATACCAGTTTATTTGGTAATAGGCTGCACGTGGCAATTAACATTATTTATTTAACCACGGCTGCCATTTCATCACTCCTGGAACAACAGAACCCCTGCTTTTTGGGGAGTGAATTGAAAGTCAGGTTTTGCTCTGGCTTCTGCAGCAGCCTCAGAGACTGGTGTTAAAATGTGTGTTTGTAAGCCCTTGCAATGAGTAGCATTGCTCAGTGAATCACAGCAGATTAGATCTTGTCTCTACAGCCCCATGGCTTACAGGACTGTTTCACTGGCTCACTGCTCTCCCAGAGCTGCATTAACATCCTGCCTCTCTGGAAACCTAGAGCACACTGCCAGCCCCAACACCTGCTCTTCTGCATTTGCAAACCAAAGCTGCAGACCAGCCTGGGAGCTGATCTGTTCATGCAGAGGAGGGGAAAGAGAACTCAAGGAGCTCTCCCAGCTTGCCATGGTTCCCTCCCATCTGGAACAGTTTCTGGAGCAAGGGAAAAGCTGAGCAGTGGATCTGGCGCCTGCATGACCACAGAAATCCACTGTGGGTGGTGGGAAGATGCAGACAGATTTACCATGCTGAAGGAAACTGTCCTGCTTGCACTTTTTATTAGGTGAACAGAGTCCATGAGCTTTGCTCCTGCACTTTTATAAAAGCTGTAAAAACAAAGGCAGCTGTGGAGATGCCAGGTTTTTCTTTAGGGGGCAAGCATAGGCAGTGTACCCATTTATGTGCTGAAGCAATATAATTTAATTCTGCTTTAGGGCCCAGATATTGAGACCTTCAAAGAGCATCAGAAAGTGATTGTTGGAGCAGGGATGTTGAGCTGAATCTATTACAAGAGGAAAGAAAATGTCCAGAAGCTATATGGGACCTTTGGTTCTATTTGATTTCTCTCCATCTTGCCCAGATTTAGAGCCATTACATTACAGGAGAATAAAAACTCTCAGAGGAGAGCTGAGGATGAGAAGAGGTAGGATTGTCTTTTGCTTCAGCTGATGGACAGCACTTTGTGTGCCTTTCTTTTTCCCACTGAGGCACCCTGGGTTTGAAGTCTCGTGATGGTCCTCTAAAAATTATGGAGCTGATGACAAAAAGACAGTAGAGAAATTTGCTTTGTTTCCTTCATGCTCTGACTGCACTATGCTTTGGGTTACCAAACCGAATTAATCAGAGAATTTGGGGTGGAAGAGATGAAGAAGCTTTCAGCTGGCACACGGGTGGAGAGCACTTCTTGCCCACAGACAGGGATAAGGCATGAAATAAAAAAAAACCCAAAACCTACAAAGAATTCCAAACTGGTTTGGGTTGGAAGGGACCTTAAGGCTCATCCAGCTGCAGCCCCTTCCACTGTCCCAGGCTGCTCCAAGCCCTGTCCAGCCTGGCCCTGGACACTGGCAGACACAGCCTGTGCCAGTGCCTGACATCAGTATTGCATTTAGGACAGAAATCTTCCAGCTTCCAAGAATTGTTATTCCATGATTTCTTCTGTAGTGCCCGAACTCTTGCACGTCTGTGTGATATCACTGGAATTGGGTCCTGGCAGGGTGGGATTTATCACACCTGGCTGTTGCCCTGCTCTCATGGCACAGTGCAGGGTCAGTGGGGCAGAAAGGAGGGGACAGAGTGAGGATTAATGATCCTTTAATGATCCTTTAATGATCCTTTAGTCCCAGGGCTGTGTGTGCTTCCCCACTCCTGTGGGGGGAACCCTGGCAGGCACTTCAGACGAGCTGTGTGATGTTTCCATGGCCAAAGTTGTGTGAGATTATTCCAGTGCTGGTGTCAAAATGAGACGTGGAAAAATTGCAATGATACTTCAAATGATCGCTAATGGGAATTTTGACAGGAGTTTAAAACTGTAACAATTTAGTGCTAAAATGGGAGCACGGAGCTGTTCAGTGAAATTCGTGTCATTTTTGAAGTCTGTTTTAAGACCAATTTTCAGTCAAACTAATCTTCATGTAAATTTAGAGTTCTGCTAACTTGCAGAAGGACTGGAGTAAACAGAGAGAAATTAAACTATTTACCCAGTTGTTAAGGTTTCCTCTATTTTTTGTGGTCCTGAATGCAACTTTCCCCCCCTGCTTTTCCCTCCATTTTTAATATTTCTTAGAGTCCATTTTCAACACACAGGGATATGATGTCTGATGAATTTAGTGAAGAGTTGAGCAACACATTCATTTCAGTCTGCCAAGAATGCTGTGTCCTTGGCTAGAGGAGTCCAGTGCAAAAGAAGAAGAATCAGAAATAAGTTTTAACCATTGGGAGAAGATATAATAAAGGCATTTGCTCTTCTTTAAATAGCCCTTTAAAGTCTGTAGGCAAAAAAAATCTACGTACAAGATCCTTACTACTGAGAGCATAATAATTTGCCTTTTTTTTTTCCTTAAGTCAAATCCTGAAGTTTTTTTGGTTGTTGTTTAAAAAAGAGATTTACAAGGGAACTTATTTTATGAACTTTTATCCAGACTGTTCTCCTAAACTCTGGAACAAGGTTAAAGATACCATTAAGACATCATTAATATTTTGTGTGCTTCTCATATACATAGATTTTTTTTTCTGCTGCACTGTTCTCACTTGTAAGAGCAATAAATCTCCCTCAGGAATTAATCTCATTTTAGTAAAATATGCAATGAAATATTTTGAATTCTGTCCTCTGAAAGCAAAGTTCAGCTTAAAGCATTTTTCATTTGGTCCCAAAATATGATTAGACCTGAATGTCTCCTTTTAGAAACAACAAAAAATCGCATTAATGTTCAGTTAAATTTAATCCTTTCTGTTTTTTCCCATATTTGACTTTAAAAAAAATAAATAAAAAGGAAAACAAACCAACAACACTTTTTTGCACCTACAGAGCATCTTTTCCTTAGCCATAATTATCCATAATTGCCTGAAATCGTGGAGTCTGCTTCCCAGGTCTTTTTCATTCAGCTCCCTCCGGATGTATTCATCCTGCCTGGTTTAACTTTCTGTCCAAAGAGGGGCTCAAAGTGCTGAGACTTAATTTTGATGTTTGCCTCCATTAAATGAAGAGAGGCAGGTGCTTCCTCCAGGGTTATTCAGAACAGTCCATCTACAGAAACTGTGTGTGTCCCTCATTGAAAAGTGAACCTGAGATTCTCTTCCCCTGCCATTGGGGACATTTTTGGTCTCGTCGTTTTTGGTTGTGTTGTTGCAATGAGTTGAGACTTCCACAGTGCTGTTCTCTTGGGAGGAGTCAGTAAATGTTCTCCTCCCAGGCGTTTGCTCCAGGGTTTGCTTTTTCTTTGCTTTTGTTCCGTGTGGCTCCTAACGAGCTTAGTTTGCTGCCTGGAATTGCAAGTGTGAAATTGTCTGCGGGAGTTTCCCTGTATTTCATCCACATGTCCGGTTTAATCAGCTCTTTGTCTGTCTTTGAGAATTGCTCTAAGTATAAATTCTTTTGTTGTCTGTCTAACCACATGATTTACTGGGACTCCTCGTGCTGCTGCCTTGAGTGCAGGTAATTGGGAACATCAGCACTCGGAGAAATATTCCCCGTTCCCTGTGTCTACAAAGGTTATATTTATTAATACAAATATAGCAAAGCTTTTGATGGATTCACCTGCAAAGAACCTTCTTTGAATACAGATATGGGATTTGATAAACGCAGCAATGTGGTTATATTTTTTTTTAGGTGTGTAAATCTCACCCAAAGGCTGAACAGAGTAGAATCATTCCTTTACACGGCCGAATGAATATTTAATATATATCCAAGTCTTGGTTTTCAGAACTGCTCACACATCTGTCTTCACAATTATCATCTGATTCTATATTTAATTAAGACATGACTAAACCCCTTTTGACTGAGTTACTGCAGAATCACACCTCATATTTTTATGTTTCATTGCTACGATTCTTTTTAATTGAATGTAAATCATGCTTAGTCCTGTGTTCTGCAAAGTGCTGCTAAACATTAATGCTGCTCTGACTGAGAGCTATGCTCCATAGAGCTGCTGGGGAGGAAATAAACTTAATGGACTCGATATTATCCTTCTTTTAAAAAATCATTTAAAAATGATCACAGCATGGCCAGCAGTGACCCCCATAACCCAGTAGCCTCTGCCAAGCAACTGGCCCTTAGAAGCAGTTCTGCAATTAACTGCATCCCAGTGCTGGGATTGCCAGGGCAAATCACATCAGCAGCCTGGCTCTGGAGCATCTCTGTGACACAGCCCAGCACCAGCTGTTCCACAGAAAGATCAAAATATTCCCCTGGTGGAAAATCATGACATAATCTGCCTGCTGGGGTAGTTCCTTTCTGCATCTGAACCGTGGAGCATGCTGGGGGATTAAAAGATTGATCTCTGCTATTTTATTGCCTTATCTAAAGAAACTTTGAATCTCTTCAAAAATATGAACATTTCTGATTTTGTTGGGTTTTTTTCAACACTGCCTCGGTGCCATTTTGCTGCTGTGAATTCTGTGGGTTACATAAAGGAATGTTGCTCTGATTTAATTTGACTTCCTTTCAGTTTCTGGGGTTTTTCATTTCTTATTTGCAGGGTTTCATTGCCATTTTACCCTCCTTTATCTTTTATATCTCTGTTGTGATCTATTTAATTATGTCCTGGTCTTGTCAGTTTTAGCTCTTGCCTCAGTTCCCATAGATCAGATGAAGCCAAGGCAGTTTGTAGCTTCCAAGCAGGAAAATGGTTTTTGCCATGGAGAAACACCTTGCAAAATCTGTCCCAAACCTCCCAAACCAGGTGACATTTGTGACCTGTCTCAAATCTCCATAAGGATTATGGTGACAGCAATGAATTTAATGAATATACAGCATGACTAACTTAAGGATCTAAACATTACATCTTAAGCACAAAACAAAGGGCTTTTAGCAACAGGAATACACGTCATGCTATTCCATTTTTTATTATTGTTAAATATTCAAATATTCAAGTACCATGGTGGGATTTTTGAGGCCAGGAGTTGCACTTTGTGTGTCCCTTTCAGCTCATTCTGTAATTCCATGATACCACCCTTGAGGACTCAGCAGATACAACAGACCCCTTAGAAACTCCTCTCTATCGTTACTGTCACTTTCTTTCCTTTCCTTCCTCCAGATGATCACTCAAGAGTGAGATTGCAGCTGCTGGATGGGGACCCTCACTCTGACTACATCAACGCCAATTACATCGATGTAAGGCTCCTGGACATTCCCCCTGTGACAAACCCCCTGTGACAAGCCTGCTTATGAATCTGCTGCCTCTGACACAGGGACAGGCTGTGCAGCTGATGTGAATGACAGCTGAACGTTGTACAAACACCGTGCTGTGACGGGGAGAAGGTTCTCAGTCTCCAGTTTGTTTTGTCTGACCAGTCTGGGCAGATGGAGATTTCCTGTGTTTGACAGATCCACCAGTATAAGTGGGACATGGGCTAAGTGATGGATGTAGAAATCGATATCAGCCCCTCACTGTAGCATTAATAGATATCAGAGGTTGCCAACTGCTCCCGAAGTTGTGGTGCAGAAGGCATGTGTGTAAACAGATTGACTTTTTTTTAAGTGTTACAAAATGACATTGGAAAAGCAGCCTCTGTCTCACACACAGAGGGATCTAATGCATTTCTTGAAAGCAGCTTTTAACTCACAGCAACAGGCAATGCTTAGAATAGTTTCTTGAAAGGATAAAAGATGCCCTCAGAATTTTCACAGAGGCAAATTCATACCTTTCTTCTTTACAAACAAGAAGATGCTGTGTTTTGCCTATCTGTTTTCAGCATTACCTTCAGGTAACACAGGATTTGTGTTTCTTTGTGGAAATAGTTAAAAAGTGTCCCATTCCTGTCTTATCTTTGGCATGAAGAGATTGGGTTATTCAGCCTGAGGGAGATGCTCTCACTTAAAATCTCTCAGAGCAGCCCAGTTACCCAATCATTCATTCATTCCATAAATAGTTAATTATAATATATTACATAATTATACACTGTCCAGAGGACAGCAGTTGGCACCTGGAAAGTATCAAATCCTTGGTGGCTTTGTCTGAGCTATGATCTCACACTCACTCATCTTATTTTCTTTTTTTTCCAGGGGTACCATCGGCCTCGCCATTACATTGCAACTCAAGGCAAGTTCACTCTTGTTTGTCTAAATATTTGTGAACCCACTGCTGGTTTACACTGTTGTAGGAGCTTTTTATGGGGTGACATTATCTGAAAATTTGTTATATGGGCAAAAGATGGAAGGATATAGAATTTTCCAAGATCTTTATGGCACTCAAGAGCTCAGCTGCAGGAATAGGAAATGCCCCAGACTGAGAGGTGGCAGAACAGCCTAGAATGTGTCATTTGTGCATGAAGTGTGAGAGGACAATTACAGGGGACTTTGTGTGTCTTGGCTTTACCTTGCTTGAGTTGGGCAGTGTGAATAAGCTGTGACTGATGAGCCTTTGAGGGGAACTAGCAGGAAATGCATTGAACACCACCTTCTGTTAAGTCACTTGAGGAGTTTCCTATAAAAAAGGAAATAAGGTCAGAGTTTGTCAGACTGACAAACCCCTTGTGAGCACTGGTTGGTTGGCTCTTGGAACCTCGCATTTTTCTGGGGGAAACTTCAGAAAAGAGCTAATTTCTGCATGTTTCCTTCCTCTTTCACAATTAATCAATATTGAACTGAAATGAAATGATGTGAGATGGTGAAATGGTGTGCTGCATCAGGTGTGAATTACAACACAACCTTAATACAGGTTCAGTGTGGGGCACATCCTCGTCCCATCACCTACACAGTTACCTCCTGGTAACATCACTTCTGTTGCCACTGTGCTGGAACCTTAAATTCCTGCTGTGAGGAAGGGCCTGACTTCCCAGAGAGCTCCAGGCTGTTCATGTCTGTAACCCTGAATGATGAGGGATGCTCTGAGAGAGAGAGCAGGATCCTGTGGGAACAGGACAGTGCCTGGAGAGCAGCTGGAAGGGGTTATTGGCATTCCATGCACTCTCTTGAGATGTCCTTTTTGTCTTCTCTCCTGCCCCAGGGCCCATGCAAGAGACAGTGAAGGATTTCTGGAGGATGATTTGGCAAGAAAACTCTGCGAGTGTTGTCATGGTCACCAACCTGGTGGAGGTGGGCAGGGTAAGGTGCCACTCCCAGTGTGTAAAGCCAGACCAGGGCTGGGTTTAACACGGAGCTGCTGCTCAGGACAGCTCAGCAGCAAAATGCCTTTTGCTTCCTGCAGGAAGGGAATGAATTCAGCCACTCTGGGTTTTTCTGTAAAATGCTGGATTTTGTACTACATAGCTGCTTCCCTTCTAGACTAATAAGGGTTGTGTTCCTGCTGTAAGTCTGGGCTTTGGCAGAGTTATACAAATTTATGCTAGCTCAGAAGCTGTCTCCTTCCTCAGTACAGAAGGAAAGATGCACTTCTGTGATAGTTATTCCTTGTCTGATGATTTGAATACTCTCTAAAATCCAGAGGAGTGAGGATGTGTGACTGGTACTCCAATTATCAAAAGACCTCTTTACATGAGAGTCCAAAGCCTGCACTTCCTGAGGTCACTCTTCTTGGTGCTTGAGGTTTTTGTGGATCCTGGGGCCACCCAGCAGTGCTGTCCTCCTAAACACCCCCCAATTCCCTGACCTGGGCCAGACATCCCTGTGTCAGCACAAATTCCCAAAGCCCATCATGGAACCAAACATGGATCACTCAAAAAGTGTAGGCTAGACCTCAGGAAATAAGAAGACAGAATATCTGGGGTGGCCTTTCCCAGCATGGTTTTTGTTTTAGAGACATTCTCAGCCAGAAACTGGAGTTCTTAAAAATTTTTCTCCTGATATTTGTCGCTTTCCATTGCTTTGGTACTAAGAAAAATTTAAATTATCGTTTGCTCAAAGCCATTAGTAATTCAGCTGCTTTGTGTTTGATTTCCCTTAGATCTCATGGTTGAATGCCAGCTACTTCTATTCATTTATTGCTATTTATTCTATTTTACCTTCTACTGACACTTCAGTTTGAAATAAATGCCTCTGTGTAAAAGGAAAAAAACCCAAACAACAAAAAAGCTACAACAAACCTACATTAATCATATTTAATATTTATAAAACCCCTTTCAATTATGACTGGAACTGGAACATGAAGCCTGCTTTGCAGCAGCTAATTGCTTCAGCTTTAGGTATTGTTCCACTCTTTCATGCTAGAGCATTTAATAACCTGCTAGTCTTTGTTAGCCTAAATATCCCTTCTGGAGCTTCACAGCCCTGCTTTTATTTCTTCTGGTGGTTTTGCACATGGCTCCTAGAACTGGCTAAGCTGGGATATGTTTACCTGCTCAGGAGATTTCTCTCTTGAACCTTAGTTGAAGCTTGTCACAGCTGGTAAAATGCCAAGTTTGTGTCCACATGTGATAAAGAAAGCTCAGGGTCAAAAAAATTTAGTGTCTCAGCATGTATCCCACAATCTCCATGAACTGAAATTCTTTTCTTTGGCTAAACAGAGAGCTCTCGGAATTACAGGAGCAGTAGCATGGGTTTTTCTCAAAAGGGATGGTGGTGACTGTCAGGTGTTCTATATATCTGATATGGGCCAGGCATGTATGGAAATTCAATGAAAATTAAAAAAAAAATCTAAATGCATCATTTGCATTCATATGGACAACAAAGGGAACTTTAAAAAAATCCTGCCTGTGGTTTCTATGTATGGTAAAGGAATTTTGATCTAATTTATACAGTTAATTTTGGCAACTCTGCACATCAGAAGAAAGCCCAATTTGCATTGGCTTCAGCATGAAAGTGGAGGAAAATGTAGGTCAGCTCTGACTCTAGTTCCTCTCAATATTTTTCCTTTCCCCCCCAGGTGAAGTGTGTTCGATACTGGCCAGATGACACAGAAGTGTATGGAGATATTAAAGTCACATTAATTGAGACAGAGCCACTGGCAGAGTATGTCATACGTACCTTCACTGTCCAAAAGGTAAGGAGCTCTTCAGGCAGCTGAGCTTGTGACACACTCCATTTGTGTTCACAAACTGTGGGAAACACATCCAGAATGCTCTTGGAGATGGGAGCTATGCTACTTGGACAGGCTTCACTTCAGCAAACTAAATTTTTGACAGGGATTCCATTTTTGGACAAATGATTTTACAGGAACATCTTGATGTAGCCACAAAAGTAGAATCCACAGTGCATAAAGTTTAACTGCATCCAAAAGGCAGCAGATAGCTGATGGTATGCCAGGAATAATAACTGCCTTGTTTCACAGTGGAAAATGGCAGAGGAAAAAAGGTACCACTTAAACTGGATGCCAGGTAGGGTCCCCTTTCATCAGAAATGAGACTATAATAAGAGCAAGAGTATAAAAACTATCCCCAAACCAGCAGGATTTGGAAGATTTTGTTACTTTTAATTAGAAATTGGAAGTCTAAGTGTCAGTGTGTTCCAGGTCTGTCCAAATTACTTTCCAAATATTCAGTAAGTGGTTTTAAAGATTTTCCAAAATTGCTGCCCACTGAACTTCAGTCACATTGGGAATATTGTTTCAGTTTTCTGATACATCAGCTCCATATTTCATTAAGTCATTGAAAAACTTGGTGAGAAATGCTAATGCCAAAATCTGACAGGCTAGAGGAGCTGCTGCTGGATTCCACCCACATTTCCTGTACAATAAAACGCAGTTGAGCCAGAGTTCTGTGTTCCCCTTTGCAGGTCAGATAAAGGTGTGATTTTCACATACCAACAACTTGCTCTCCCCAGGAAATATGGTTCTAGGTACCAATTTTTGCCCTTTAGACTGCCAGCAGTATTTCAAACTGAGAATTTTTGGCAGGAGGTGGCAAAAAATCTGCTGTTACCTGGGGCGTGTCTACTCTTGAGGTGTCCATTCTCCAGGCTCTTGCTTCAATGCCTCAAGCACAATTTGGGAGTGAATTTTTGGTGTTTCATGGCTGTAACACAGGAGGATGAGGGTAAACACAGCCATGGAGTGCCAGGGCTGAGGTGACCCTGGTTTGGTGGGTTTGAACTGTGAGAGCACAGGTTGGAACTGGGAGCTGGTACCACCTTCCCAGCCCTCAGGTGAGCATTATCTGGGATTTGGTTTTTAGGGTGAAAAGCAGCTTGGACACGTTTCCATGTTATAAATGAGAGACAAAAGTCTTGATATTCAGCAAAATTTAGATTGCTTTATTGGATATAGAAAGAGCAAGCAGTGCTGGGGAATGTGAGGGGTCACTGCCCACTCCACACTCCACAGAACCTCGATTTGCAGCCTCTTCTTATACTGTGGTTTTTTATTGTAGTCAGCAATTTTTTGGGTTTTTGTTGTCATAAGCAGTGGTGGTTGAATAAACATCCTTACACAAAGCCTTTGGGTGATAATCAGTCACAGATAGCCATCTGGGCCTTGTAGATAACCACCAGAGAAGTTCTGGGAGTCTGGTTTTTGGGATAGGCAGTATTGATCAGACAAAGGCAGGAAGGGCTTTTTGGGAAGTCTGATTTTGCAAGCTGGTAGCTGATAGAACTTATTTGGAAAATATAACATATTATATAATGTAACATAATACAACACAATATAACATAACAAGGTGATTTTAAAAAGAATTATTTTATCGTAGAATTTCCTTTATCACGTGTCCATGCTTCACTTCAGAGCTGAATATTCTGGTTTATACAAACCCCAATGCTTTCGTTGATTAACGCCAATCTTCCATCAATTATCACACGTGCATAGTGAGATCTCAGTGCTTGTTACCCCTCAGCGTGAGGGAAGCCTGATGGGAGGAAAACAGAGGCTGTGTTGTCTCCTCAGAAAGGCTACCACGAGATCCGGGAGATCCGGCAGTTCCACTTCACCAGCTGGCCCGACCACGGCGTGCCCTGCTACGCCACCGGGCTCCTGGGCTTCGTGCGCCAGGTCAAGTTCCTCAACCCCCCCGAGGCAGGACCCATCGTGGTGCACTGCAGGTAGGACAGCTCTCCACCTGAGCCCCCTCCCTTTGCTCCTCTCCTGGCAATAGCCAGCAGCTCCTTTAAGGGTGATGTTTTCTTGCATGCGGGAAAGAAAGGGGAAATGTGGTTTTCTTCCCGGGAGTGGCAGGTCTGGGGACACGTTGGCGTGAGTTGGAGATGATGGGTGTGGGTCAGAGAGGGGTTTTCAAATGTAGAAGGCTCCCCAGTGGTCTGTGCTCTGTTGGATGCTCGTGGCAGAGCTGGGGAAGTGGTGAATATCTGGGACAGCCATTCCAGGCCCTCAGACCTCATGTGGCAGAACAGACAGTGCTGACACAAAGACAGGGAATTTTAAAGCAAAATTGTTTTCTGTACTCCCATGTGCTGCAGCTCAGCTTTGTACCAGCGTTAAAGGCCTTACCTGGTCTGGTGGGAGGGGTCCCTGCCATCTTTAAGGTCCATTCCAACACAGACCATTCTATTATTTTATGTTTTTATGGTCTGAAATACTTGTCTGACCGAGTCTGGCTGCCAGCCCTTGGGCACCTTGGCTTCCTCAAAGCCCAGGAGTTGGGGTGGGAATCTCAGATTAAAATCATGCCCAGCGACTTCCAGCTAGCAAATAAAAGGAGTTAAATGACTTCAAATGCAAGGAAAGGAGTTTGGGTTTGTAGCAGCAGCTACATCTGCAGGGCTCAGGACATGTATGAGCTAAAGATGTGGCTTGAGCACAAGGTTAGAGAGCAGAGCTGGCTGTCCCAAAATCTCACCCCTAAGCAATCCACAGGGAATTGCCTCTAGCTCCCACTCTGTGTCTTGAGAAAGAGAGAGAAATTATATCCCACAACTTCTTTAAAAAGGAAAATCAATTAAATCTTATCTTTTCTAAGCAGCATTGGATTGGGTGGGTGTTTTGTTTTGTTGGATTTTTTTAGCAAGCAGTGAGTCAGTTTTATAATCAAGTAAAGCTAAGCTTGAGGAGTTGGCAGAAGAGATTTCATTTACAGCTGAGGACCTGAGTTTGCTGCTTTGGTGCCATGACATGGGGCTGGCCCTGGAAGGTGTCTGAACCTGACTCAATTGTCACCAAGAAAGCAAGGAGAGATTTTTCATCCTTCCCATTTTAATGAATAAATGCCATTTCCTCTGTGTTATTTATTTGCTTTTGAATTTTAATGACTTGCTTTAAGTGGTAATTACCAAATTCTCCCAACCAGTGCCTGGCTGGATAATATCACTGTTCGATATTTATGAAGTGCCAGGATCCTCTAAATATAGAACTATTAAAACTATTTGTTAAAATTCTGAAAAGCTGAGAGATAAAGGGAGAGGAAATGCCACTAATTCATTAAAATTCTGCAAATGAAAAATATCTTCTCTCTATTCAGCAGTTGATTAATCTGGTCCATTAATTTATGGTCATTCATATCTCCTTGCTTTCGGCTCTGGTGGAATTTTCAGTGCAGCTGAAGTTTCCCTGGTTTGAGCAGAGTTCTGCTTCCTTCAGAGTAATGTGAAGAGACGTTCTCCTCTCTCCATCCTTCACACCTAAGCAGTTTGGATGATTTCCCGGAGGGGAAGGAGGACACGATGACAACAGGGTTTTGCAGGAGATGGCCCAATTCTCACAAGCAGTGAGGAGCTCTGAACTGAAGGGTTCAAGTAGCCTCGAGCTCCTTTCTCTGTAATTTACAATCCATAACTTGAAATCGCCCTCCTCGGGATCCAAACTGCTCTGTATTCAAAAGGGAAAAGAAGCATTTGAGGTGGAGGACTGAGCTCCTTTCATCATGCCCACTGGAGCAAATGTATGAATGCCTTCTAGAGAGTCCCAGGGAAGAAAATTTCTGGAATTGTGTGTTTGCAACCTGGCGGCTGCTCTCCCCTGTGTGATGAGAGGTGTGCAGGTGACCTGACCTGTAAAATTATAATGAGGATTTTTGCAATATTTTGTTGATGTTCAATAACACAAAGCTTCCCTTTCAAGAAATACTATTTCCCCTCCTTCTCTTAAATCCTAAAACAGAAAAATGAATCCAGCAGGGAGCGGGAGCGGCTCCTGGGAGGAGACAGTGGTGTGTGTGTGTGTGTGTGTTGCTGTTATTGTCTCCTTCACAGAGCCCTGCCTCTCAGAACCTCCTGCTTTTTCCTTTTGCAGTGCTGGGGCCGGGAGGACAGGGTGCTTTATTGCCATCGACATCATGCTGGACATGGCAGAGAACGAGGGCGTGGTGGATATATTCAACTGCGTGCGAGAGCTGCGCTCCCAAAGGGTCAATCTGGTGCAGACAGAGGTGGGTGCCAGCAGCTCTCCCTGCACGGGGTGCTGCTTTCCTGTCAGCTTCTCTGCCCAGATGTTTGTCAAGTCAACACTGGCTCGCTCTGTGCCTTCATTATGCAGAGCTTTCAGTGGCTAAACATGCTGGGATTTGCACTGAATCAATTCACTGCCAGCTACTCGGGGCCTCCAAGACAGGAGGGCAGACCTTCAAGTTTAGGTCTGTGCATTGCTGATTAATTTTATTCTCATAGAAGGCAAAAAAAAAAGAGCTCCTGAAGCCTCTCATGACTCATTCATAGGAACACTGCAGGCTCCAGTAGTACCTAGTGTATATCTATTACAAGCTAAGCAAAGAAAACGTCTTTGATTCAAGATTTGGGTGCTCCATCACACAGTGTCTGGCAGCTGCACAAACTCCTGTGGAACTCTGCACAGGTTTTAACTGTGTCCCTTAACCCCTTCCCCTCCTGAGGGACAGGATAACAGCCTGGAACAGAGAAGGGCTGTTAACTTTATTGGACTTCCCCTATTTACTTTAGGAAAAGAGTTTTACCCAAAATACCCAGAACCCAGAGTTCTGAAGAAACCTGTTAGTTCTGTGCAGCTGTGCCAGGGAAGGTTAAATTGTATATTAGGAAAAGTTTCTTCGTTTAAAGGATTTAAAGGTGGAGTCACCATCCCTGCAAGGATCTAACAGACATGTAGATGTGGCACTTGGGGACAAGTTCCGTGGTTAATTTGGCAGTGCTGGCTTGGATTGAGTCATCTTAGAGGTCTTTACCAACCTAAACAATTCTGTGACTCTCTGGTGTTATTGGAGGTCTATCCCTGACCATTGCCCTGTGGATAGAGAGGTTTTACACTCTGTTGTCTTCCTCAGCCCACCCCCATTTTGTCCCAACATTCCTGAGCTCCCCATTTTCCTTGTAAATCTGAAGTCAACACCAGACCTCACATTTGATGATGGATGAAATATGCTCACAAAGCTGTCATACAGCACACTGTGTAATTTGTCTCCACGTGAAACAGAGCCAAATATGCATATTGGGCATGACTTAAGAAAAAAAGAAGAGTGATACTTCATGATCTGTATTAAAAATGTGATTTTAATATCTCCTCCCCTCCCCTGTGCAGGAGCAGTACGTGTTTGTCCATGATGCCATTTTGGAGGCATGTCTCTGTGGCAACACAGCCATTCCAGTCTGTGAGTTCAGATCCATATATTACAACATCAGCAGACTGGATCCACAGACCAATTCCAGCCAGATAAAAGATGAGTTTCAGGTAATTTCATGTATTTCCCAGTCACTGCAGTTGGTGTATTGGAGGTGTTTAATCAATTTCTGTGTGTTATTTTGTGATTTCCAGCAGAGCAGACAAGGGGGACTGAGCCAAGGTCTGATTTCAGTTGATTTTTGTTGTTGTACTTCTGGGTCAGGCAGAGGTTTGTTTTTGAGCATGGACCATCCAGCCTTCAGCAAGGAAAAAATTGTCCCCATCACTCCAGTAGAACAAGGGTACTAATTTTCACACATAATGCTGTACTTCTTATTTTAATCAGTATTGTGTTGTTCATTTCCTTCCATAATTTATACAGAAACATTTATGCCTCAAGGTGCCTTATTATCCATTCTTGTGGCTCATATGGTGCTTCCAGGCTTTGACAATCAACTTGTTGACAACCTTCCACACAGGGGAGAGAGGGAGCTCAGTGAGCATCATTTTGGCCATTGTTAATTTTCAATTAAATGCCAATGAATCCCTCAGTTCAGTGCAGATGTTTTGCCAGGTACCTGGTGATGAGACACAAAATGATGGGCAGTAAAACTCACAAGTGCTCCATTTTAGTGCTCTTTGCCCAGGGCAAGCAACAAAACAGCAACAAAATTCCTTTGTTTCCTGTCTTCATTTTTTATCCCACCCTGGTAAATGGGCTTGGGACACTTCAGCTATGGGCCCTGTGCAGTTTTTCCTGTCACAAAGTGGAGAATTCACCCAGAATTCTGAAGACTGGACTAAGTTTTCCAGTCTTATTCCCCATGAATCTTTAATTCTTTACTGTGAGGCTGAAGGGACACTGGCACAGGGTGCCCAGAGCAGCTGTGGCTACCCCTGCCCATGGCAGAGATGGAATGGATGGGCTTTAAAGTCTCTTCCAAACCAAAACATTCTGTGGATTCCATGATTTTGAGCCAACACCCATGTAGAGAAAAAGGAATACTGTGGGAAATGTGGAGCAAGGTGAGTTTGATAGGGAAGAAAGAGACACCTACAATTTGTTGAGGCCACTCAGTCAGAGTAAAAAGGTGGAGATTGCTTTAATTATAGTAAATTCCCACCCCCTCTCCCAGGAAAGTGTCTTTTGCAGCAAGAGAATGTCTTTTTGGAGCCCCAGCCTGTGTCAGAGGCCTCTTTTCCTCCCTCTCTATGCAAAGGGAGGATTTGTGTCTTTTATCTGAAGCCTTACAGGGAATCATCAGGGTTGGTATAGTGAGATAAAGAATGTGGATCCCAACTGATGGCAGTTCAATTAAAAAAAGATCTGGTTCTATCAAGTGATAGCAGGTCTGTAAAAGTGTTTCTGGTTCTGAATGCTCAGCATGAAGGAGCCAGGGCCGACCTTCATCAAATGCTATTTAAAAAAAAACCACTATTAAAAAAAAGCCACCACTTGCTGGGTGTATTTTGTCATGATATGAGATGGGATTTGTCACCTCTGTGCTTGTTCTTTTGAGCTGCCAGGGGCTGGCAGCTCCTGTGGGAAGGAACTGCTCCACTGTGCTTTGCATAAGAGGTTGGGTGTCTGTCTCGTTGTAGAATCTATTTTTACAGGATTTTGGCTCAGAGCGTTCCTCAGCCCTGATTGTCTGGATTTAATGCAAAAGCTGGTATCTCTGTTGCAATCTTTAGGAACCAGTTGCTATAACTATAGATCTGTGCTTGCAGTTTGTGGTATTTTGGTCCCACTGGCCCTGAGGTAAGGCTAGATGTATTTTTCATGCTCTACATGTTGTCTGGACACACAAAAGCTCACTCTGGAGAGTTTTTGTAATCTGAATCAGTACAGGAACAAGGGAGAGAGAGGAGTAGCATAAAATAGGCAGGAGTAAATCACTAGCAAGTCACCTGCCTGATTATCTGCACTGTCAGAGATCTGAGATTTCATGTTGTCTCCCCAGCCAGACTCCCTGCTTTCCATCTCCAGACAATGTAGAACCTGAATAATTTAGAGCAACTATATTATTTCAAGTTTTATACTTTGACACATTCTTTTATCTTAGACTGTTTGACCTTCCTCTTTTCTTCATTCATAACCTTTCTGTGGCAGAAGTCCAGCTCTTTGTAAGAATTTTTTTTGGCCCCTTAAATTTTGTATTCTTCTGGCTACAGAGAGTTCACTGTAGGACTCCATGGGCTTTGCTCAGGAAGGGGAGATGTAAAAGTGAAAATACAAAGACATCAGGCAGCAACTGATGTACCACCACTTAAGCACTGGTTCTAAGATGCATTCACTTTGATTTCTGAGTTTTGATCCTTGTTGACCAACCTGGACTGGTTTGTCAGGAAGCCTCCACAGTGGGGAACAGAAAAGTAAAATAGATATAAAGAAACATAGTCTGTCAAGCTGATGACAGTCAAAGACTGACAGCAAGGCCCCAGAGATTAGGTATGACTATGTAAGTGAAAAATCCTGTGTCACTTCAAAAGGAAAGTAACAATCTAAATAATGTATGAAACAAATAGACTTTTCTGTTATAAAACCCCAGAACAACATTTTATCTCAGGTTTTTATAAGATAAGTCAGCAGTTTGATGGATCACCAGAGGCTCTGAACACAGTCTGACCTGCTGGGTGCTCAGTTCTCAGGGTACACCTGCACAGGACCCACCTGAAGAGGGGGAAGGATTTGTGCTTCCACCCTAAGGATGGTAGAAACAGGAGGAGCTTCCACTCCATCACCAGCTCAAAGCTGCATCTTCCACCTGTGATGCCTATTTCCAGCCTCTAGGAAATAACAGGAATGTTGTCTAGCTGCTCTGTGGAGAGCTGGAAATGTCTCTATAGTATAGTGCCTTCAGTTTTTGCTCTTCCAACAATGTTTGGAAGAGTTCCTCAGGGTAATGTGCAGCACACAATGTGTTATAACAGCAACAAACTCCTTAGCACTTCCTCCTTTTTATCTCTGGGATGCCAAATGTTACAAAGCAGAAGGACACCCTTTATTGAGAGCCCTTTATTGCAAAAACCAGGCCTTTCTAACCAGTCACCCCATAATCAGTTCCATCCCATTTAAGCACAACAAATGCAATTCAACCAACCACCATAAACCACGATGTGAGCACATAATGATTCTATAACTTGTTTTTCTACCTCTAATTCAGCTGAGTCTCTTTCCCACAGCCCTTTCCTGCTTAGCTGAAGTAGATGGCCTAAGCCAAGATTTTACAAGGGTAACAAAGCCCTGATTCTGTAAGGCTTTACCTGTATATTGCTGTTAATTAGGGATTAACCCTTGGAACAGTAGTAATAAAACACAGAGCAACACGGTCATCCTTCAAGATAGGAAGGAGACAAAGTTTATTGTAACACGCACTCCTTAAATATATTCAAGCACTACTGCAGGGGCAGAATGCAGCCCATTGGTCAGAGCAGGCAGTGCCTTGCACAGGTGTTTTCATTATAAACAACAGAGTTCTCAAAATACACACTCTGTAAACAGTAGCACGTGTGTGGGACACATATTGAGAAAGCAAGAAAATTACAGCCTGAAAAATATTCCAGGCTGGATCTTCTCAGCTCTGTTCCCAGCCCATGAGCTGGTCCAGCTCAAGGCTAGGGAGAATTTCTCCCAGGGTGATAATTTGGTATAAAAAAAAAATAAAAAGGAATTAATAACAAAGATAGAACACCTGTTGTGGTGTGTGCCCAGGCCCTGGCCATGGGGTGTCTTCTCTCTGAACCAATCACCTTTTCTCTACCCTGGGAATTGCAGTCCTGCTATAAAACCAAGAGTGTTTCTGAATAAACTTGGCTCTTTCTTCCTGTCATGACAGACGACCATGTAGCTGTGCCTCTTATTTCTGCCACACTTAAAGGGTTAAAACCCCTTTCCACAGCTACACACGTGCCTTTGTTTGTTCCTGGGAAAACCTCTGCTCCCAGGCCAGCCCCTTGGGAAAGCTCTGTGTTCTCACCAAGCTTTTCCCATGGGCAACTCCGCACCTGTAGGCAACATCCAGCGCTCCGCTGCTCTTGAGTCCCTTTCAAACAACACACTGCGCTTGTGGCGTGCATGTTAGAGCCGGCAGCGAGGCTCATGTCTGTGTCCCTGTCCCCTGCTGGTGCCCGGCAGACCCTGAACATCGTGACGCCGCGGGTGCGGCCGGAGGACTGCAGCATCGGGCTGCTGCCGCGCAACCACGACAAGAACCGCGCCATGGACGTGCTGCCCCTGGACCGCTGCCTGCCCTTCCTCATCTCCGTGGATGGAGAGTCCAGCAACTACATCAACGCCGCCCTCATGGATGTAAGCACTGCCCTGCCCACGTCTCTGGGAGTCCTTGAAATGTGGGGAGAGCTGTAAAGAGCAGGCGTCACAAACGGCAGAGCTGCAGTTAGAGCTCAGCGGTAGCCGTGAGGTTTGTCAGAGCAAAAGTTATGGGAGGTGCAGAAAGCAAGGACAGACAAAACAGTGGTCTTTGTATTAACCCTTGGCTAGAGTAACTCTCTAAGCTACAGAAAAGTATATCTGGCAAGATATCAGGAAGTTCTAAGTTTCTCTGTGCGTTGAATTTTAAGGTTTGCAAGTCGGTATTGTATTTGAAATAAGCAACCATTTTTTTTAACCATTGTTTTATGTACTTCTAGTGGTTGGATAAAACTACTGTCAATATGCCTTTGCTTCTTGTGATTGGTCAAAAAACTTTCAAAGTGGGTTGTAACACTGAGTTCTGTGGCTGCTGCCGAGGATGTGAGCTGCTGGTGCCTTCCCATTGTCCCAACCATGGAATGAGGCTGATGCTGGAAATGAACAGCTCGGGAGACATTCCACAGCAGTCCTGTCCCATTTGTGATTCTGTACATAAACACATGGCCAGCATTGTTCATCCACTCTCATGATGCTTTTCTGGGAGAATGGAGCTAAAGGAAAAAAACTTACTTAGCTGTAGTTTCTGAGTCTGGTATCTCCAAACCAGGCAAAGCACGTGAATTTTCTCTTCATCACCAAAATATGTCCTCTAGGACATCCCAGGGAAGTGGGCAGCACAAGCCTGACAGAGTTCAAGAAGCTTTCAGACAATACTTTTGGGCACTCGTGGGTGTGGGGCTGTGCAGGGCCAGGAGCTGGACTCCATGATCCTTGAGATCCCTTCCAACTCAGCATATTCTGTTCCATTCTGTTACTCTGTCATCACACACCCTAGTTCTGCATCACATTGGTAGGAAATTTTTGGCAAAGGCATCCCTCAGTGTGCAGTCTGAGGCTGGATCACAGGAAGGTAAATGCATGAAAACGTGGGGGGACAGCTCTGCCCATACATTGGTTTTTGTATCCATTGGGAAGAGAAATGTTTGCCAGGTCAGCTCTTGGAAAAGGATAATTTGCAGTGTGGAGTGAGTGATTGATTTGATCTTATGCAGTTAAGAATGTGGGAGTGCAGGGATCAGATGTGCAAAATATTTTCAGGCTAAAGGATGTGAGTTGAGCTGATGTGACTCTGTCCAAAGGCGTTTTCCCTCGTTTTGTTTATAGCCTGGAATCTCACAGCATGGGTCATTTGTGGAGGATGAATTATGTTGATGGCTTTTTGCTGTGCTGCCTTTGGACACAGATGTCTTTAAAGCCACTAATTACTGCAGTTGGAGTATGTGTAAATACGATCCAGGGTGAAATGCCATCATTTTTTCCCTGGCAGCAGCAGGGTCTCTGTTTTTTAATTTTGTCTGTTCTTCAATCTTTGGGAAACAGTGGTACTGTTGCATTTAAGATATTGAGTCAAGTGGCCACATAATTTATTTTAGATTTTTTTCAGCAAGATTTTGACGTTTTCATTGCAAACATGCCTAAGCAAACTTGTTTTTTTTAAGTGTGTTTAGGGTTTTTGCACATCTGCAGAAGCACAATCCAGTCTTTGGTTTCTTAGGGATTGGGAATGTTTGTACATTTCAGCCCTCATTACCTGAAATCATTTTTGCAAATATTTGTATCCTTCCCCACAAAATTCCAGTGGATTAATTTTTTTTAAGTACAAAGCAATTTTTCACCTGTCATTGAAATTCAGCCACTGTGATGTTCTTTGACTCTCCTTTATCTTTATATAAAGGATTCAGGAATTCTTGGGGACAAAAATAATCACAGGGGAACAGCCAGAATCCTACATTTCCATAGTTGTTCTTGCTGAGGACAGATCTGTGTGTGAAGTCTTGTGCTGAGCAGGGACTCTTAGAGGACACCCTCCATCCCATATTGCCTAAAAAGGAGCAAAACTGTCCCTCAGCTTCCCCCAAAACAATGCAACATAATCCTTAAAAAATGAGACTTAAGTCTCGTCATGAGTGAAGCCATGAAGAAGCGATAATAGATTTGTGTTTAATCCATGGGGTTTGGAGAAAAACATGAATTTATGTGTCCCTGACATCATCATTGCCCCATAATCCCACCCATGTTCTCTTGCATGAGTAATTCACACCTGTGTGTCACCTTCCCTTGGACAGGACAGTGAACCTGGCTCCTCCCCTGTAGCAAAGAGCTGGGGAGGGTTTCTTTTTCTCCTAATGGCAAACCCCACAAGCACACGTGGCCTTCAGCCAAGAGTTTAGCCAGGTTTGCTGCTGGCACACCATGAAAAAACCATAGCAGGAACGTTCTGGTGTTTAGTTTAGAGATAAACCTCAGTATTTCATCTGCCACTCTGTTGCCACCACTGGCCTGGTATTCTTCACAACTTTGTCCCATTCTGGTGTTTCTAGCTGTAGAATGTAGAGTGGGGAAAAACACAAAAGAGATAAAAAAGACAAAAGTCTGTTCCAGACTAAAATTCCCCAATAAATTACTTGCTTTTCCTTCTCTCTACATCACGCCCCATCACCCTCCTCAGGAGCAAACTCACAGATCCTTTTTCCCAGCATGGCCTGCCCAGCACTTCCACCCACACCTGCCTCACATGGAGGAGAAAAGGCAAACCCCCAGAGTGGGCAGCTTAATACTTCAGGATTTTATTTATTTCTTCAAGTTAAACCCAAAATCTTATACCACTGGAGGGTTTTTTGTGCTTTTTTGTTTTCTTTACCTCAGAATTAGTGTGCCTTTCGATTCAAGTCTGCTTCACAGATGTACAGCACAAAGGACTGTGCAGTTTCCAGGCTCATTTAAGCCCTGCCTGCCGTGGTTGGGAAGTGATAAAGTTTTCAGCTTGTTGCCTTTCATCCCTGAGAGCCTCACAAACATCGATTAACTCAGCCCCACAGAGGCTGGGGGCACAGGTCCTCCCTTCTGTGCTTAGGGAGACTAAGGTCAGGGAGCCTTTTTGAGGTGAAAGAATAACATCAGAACTCAAATGCCAGTGTCACAGGCTTTGAATGTTGCCCCACGAGATCATAAAGGATGGCTGGGATCCAAAAGTGCCACCTCTGTCACACTGCACCCCCAGGCAGCCACAGCAGAGGGGACTAATCCCTTCTGGAGCTCCTCGAGGCCACTGCAGCACAAAGGAGAGCATTTGCTTCCAGCTGTTTTCCTTCCAATTATTAATATTACTGATAGTCATAGCAGTAGTAATAGTAGAATTAGCATTATTTGCTGAGTCTCAAAATATAAATAATTGATTTGGGTAATCTCTGCTCTTGTGACACTTCTTTAATGAAATGTCTTTATTGGGAGCAAAAGAATCCCATTACGAGGCGTTCATTCATTGTGGAGCGATAACAAGAGCAGGAGATGTGATTTGTATAATCTGGTTAAATGCCTCAGATTGCCTCCCCACAGCCTCCTGGGTATAATATTCCTTTGAATAAAACTTGATTGAATTTTTTTTTTTTTTTTTTTAACTAATCTTATTCTTTTGTTAGAGCCACAAGCAACCTGCTGCCTTCATTGTCACCCAGCACCCTTTGCCCAACACCATTGCAGACTTCTGGAGGCTGGTGTTTGATTACAACTGCTCCTCCGTGGTGATGCTCAATGAGATGGATGCAGCACAGGTGAGTGGCTCTTCATTCCTGCCATGGCACTCCTTTCTCAAATCCAGCAGAGTCCCTGCTGCCATTTTCTGGTGCCCTCCCACCCCCAGAGATAAATGAGGGTGAGCTGGAAAGTAATAAGTGATGTTTTGGGATTTTAAGGGAGAATAAGTCCATATGCCTGGCTCTTTGTAAGCTAATTCTTATTGTAATTAACAGGGATCATAGAAGGGTTTGGACGGGAAGGGACCCTAAAGACCATCTTACTACAGCCCCCTGCCATGGGCAGGGACACCTTCCACTGTCCCAGGGTGCTCCAAACCCCATCCAGCCTGGCCTTGGGCACTGCCAGGGATCCAGGGGCAGCCACAGCTGCTCTGGGCACCCTGTGCCAGGGCCTCACACCCTCACAGAGAGGAATTTCTTCCTGATATCCTATTTACTTGGCCTTCCCTCAGCTTAATGCTATTCCCCTTTTTCCTATCACTTCATACCCTTCTGAAAAGTCCCCCTCCAGCCTTCCTGTAAGCCCCTTTTATGTACTGGAAAGTTGCTACAAAGTCTCCCCATTTATTATATGAGTACTTTGATATAAAATTATGTAAAATAGATATATTTAAAAGTATCAAAAGGTTTTATATACATACTTTATATATTACAGAATTACTTCGTGTTTGCAGGCTAAAATTTCCCTCCCAAACCCACTTTCTCCCCTTCCATATTTCTGTGTTTGGTTCAGGAAAATGCTCCCTACCACAGCCCCAGGGTGCTTCATGCTTGCTTTTTTCACATGGCATTTCCAGAAGAATAAAACCAAGAGAGCTGAAATAATTTGAAGGATCTTTCCCCTGAGATTTCCAGTGTGATTCTGTAATACTGAGAAATGTGCTTTGCACAGTTTGAGGATAATATAGTCCTTTTATCTCTCTCTTTTTTTTTTCTTTTTAATTCCAGTCTAAGTTGGGTTTTGGCTATTGGCCACAACATTATTTTCAGGATTTGAGCTTGCCAGGGAGGAGCTTTTTCCATTCCTCCTGCCTTGGTGTCTCCAGCCACCTTGCTGATGAGTGGCAGAGGATAACAGCTTTCAAAAAGGAGTAATTATGCAATTTGTGTGGAGAGTACATTTGGCGTGGTTAATTCACCCATTACAGCCCTTGTTCAATGACAGGAGAGGAACCCTCAATAGTTGGTACTTCATGGATTTGTTTTTCATTTGTCTCTTCCCTGTCTTACCACACTTGAAGGCAGTGAATTATTGGTCTCTTTTTTTGGATGGTGATGGAGAAGCCAATCACCCCGGTCCTTAAGGGGGTGTCCCATCAGTGGGATTCCATTCCAGCCCCAGGGACAGCTCTGTTCAGCACTGGGCTCTCCTGGTGCCCTGCAGAGTCCCACCACTCTGTGAAGAACCAGAGCTCCTCTGTGTCTTCTGTTTTCCTCTCCCATCCACTCTCCTTGATTCTGCATCTTGGCATTGAATCCAGAGACAAATTTCACATTTTTTTTTTCCCTTCACTTTAAAGCAAACCCCATCTTTTTCTGGAAATGGCACACTTTCTCAGGCTTGGCTCTGGGAAAACACAAACCTTTCAGCCCCAGCCAGTGTTATTCTTGTGACTGCCTTTCTGCACAAAGCTTAGTTTTTTTCCTAGCAAAGTTTTGCTGTTGTGATGTGGTCTGTAGGCACAGAAAAGGGGATTTGGCAGTGCATGAAGTCACTTTGACAGTTTCTGTAGCACGGTGTCACCTCCCTTCAGAGTGCAGCCAATGCCAGAGCACCCAGGTGGCACTGGAGGTTAAGGAGGATTTTAAAGTTTGTATTTTATGAGCTACCAGGACACTGTGAGACAGTTTGATATCATAGAAGCATTTGGGGTAGAAAAGACCTCTAAGATCATCGAGTCCAGCTGTTATCTCAGCACTACCAAGGCCACCACTAACCCATGTCCCCAAGTGCCACATCAACACATCTTTTAAATCATCCCAGAGATGGTGACTCCACTACTGCTCTGGGCAGCTGTGCCATTGCCTGACCACTCTTTCAGTGAAAAAATATTCCCAATATCGCATCTAAACTTCCCCTGGCAACGTTTGAAGCTGTTTCCTCTCATCCTATCCCTTGCTCCTTGGGAACAGAGCCTGACCCCTACCTGGCTGCACCCTCAGGGAGTTCTGGAGAGTGTGAGGGTTTCCCCCCGAGCCTCCTTTGCTCCAGGCTGAGCCCTCCCAGCTCCCTCAGCTGTTCCTGGGGGCTCCAGACCCTTCCCCAGCTCTGCTGCCCTTCAGACCCCACACAACCACTGTGTGATTGAGTGGCCTCAAGCCCATCAATCCAGATGTTTCTGCAGCTCCCTCCTACCCTCCAGCAGATCATCAGATCCCTTTGGAGATGTGTTTTCTGGAGGGGCACTTGGCACAGTGCCTGCAGTGTCCTTGCATGACAATGATGCCATTACCTGTCTGTTCAGCAGTACCTGATCCCAAACTGTGCCCTGAGTACAGGGAAAAGGCAAACAAACCCCTGGGGAGCTCAGAGCACACAACAGGCAGTTCTCAGCAGTGTCTACACCTGTGTGTTCACACACCTGCTCTGGGAGAAGCAAATTTTCCATGCTAAGGAAAGGTTTAATCTTTTTCTGCTTTCCACTGCACCTTGAGGTTGTTTGCTAAAGCTCCTGCTTGGCTCACATGTGCCTGCCTGTGGGACAGATGCTTTGAGGGGAGATCACTAGGCAGCTTGAAAGTCTGAATGAAGAGTAAAGAAAGCCTTCAAAGGACTTGCTTGTGTGGTCTTGGCTGGCTTGCTTAATCATAAAAAACTAACAAGGGCAAAGATGCCTAAGATTGTGTGAATATCCCACCCAATTTCAATCCTATATGATCAAAGGAAGAACAGGAGTGCAGAATTAATGCAGTCCCATGCACACACTCCACGTTGTTGCTGGCAGTGATTGAACTTGAAAAGCTCGAGATCGAGTTCAAATGAGCATCTGGGGGTTTCAAAACTTGTACAGAATTACACTTGAAAATAGGAAGAAAAAAAAACCACAAAGAAATACAATCTTAGCAGAAACTGCTAATGAGATCTCAAGCAAAATATGATCTATTTCCAGCTGGATTTAAAATCCTTAGATTGTAATTTGTGTGCATAGGGTGCTTTTTGTCCTTCCAACTCAGTAATACCAGCTCAAGAAAAAGACTCCCAGCCTGCTTCACAAACTTCAGAGGTGCAGTTGTGGTTCACCCTGAAACCAGAGTTGCTCTTGTTGCTCTCAGAACAAACTCACTCTCCTTTCCCTGCTCACTAGTAGAGACAGAAAACTAAAAAATTTATCTTACAGAAAAGAAGACATTTCAGTTGGTTTGAATTAAGATTAATTTTCTTGCTGCCTGTACTGTTTCCTCAGTTTTACCAACTCTCTTTAGTTCCTGTTAAATTTATGTACAGACACGAGTCTTTTAATGTTCCTGTTAAATCTCTACCCTTACAGAAGCTTCATTTGTCAGCCACCCTTTTTGCACCTCTAGACCCAGAATTCAATCAGTTCCAAATTGTGTTCATATAAAAATAAAGAGGAAGAAAAGTCCAGGCCCTAAACTTTTTTTTTTCTTCATATTCAGGATATAAAATGTTTTACTGAGCTAGAATGAGATCTTCTCTGAACAAAGCCACAACATACAAGATTGGTGATGGATTTTGAGCCGGTTATAGATCCAAAAGGAATGATTGGTTATGTTAATAATTAAGTTTTCTGTTTGCTTTTTGTGTTTTTTTCTAGCTCTGCATGCAGTACTGGCCAGAGAAGACATCCTGTTGTTATGGCCCAATCCAAGTGGAGTTTGTTTCAGCAGACATTGATGAAGATATCATCAACCGGATATTCCGGATTTGCAACATGGCCAGGGTAAGAGTGGAGAAATACCACCCTAGTTCCCTAGTTATCCTCAAAAACACTTTTTGGCTCGAGGAAGAGGCACAGCCAAGACTTGTGGTTTAGAGATGCAGAATCTCTCACCTAGGAATGAAATTCCACTGCAGCTACTTCCTTTAATTAACATTTAATCAGCCTGCATTGCTAAAGGACTCTTGGCTGAAGGCAGCAAGTGGATGATATGAGCTGAAAATCTGTATTTAAATGGTGAGCATTTTTCTGTGTATATTTGAGAACAATTCATCACTTAGTACCGATATAAAGCCATCAGTATTGCAGGAAATAAACTGGGATGGTGTCAGCAGCTTTCCATCTGTCAGCTCCCAGGCAGCATCTCTGAAGACAGATGCAATGTTTACTGGCTAGACTGGGATTCCCAATTGCCACTGCTTTCCCTATAAATAAGCAACTGCCATTTCTGTAAGCAACTCTTTGTCTGTGTCCCTGAGCCCCAGGACAGCTGAAATGATAGAAACAAAGTTTATCTGCACACTGAGCCCTGGCAATCCGACTTCAGGGCTGCAGGAAAGGGCTTCAGCAGAGGTTTTTTCTCTCATTAGTTGTTTCCCAGATTGATTATGTTTCCTTTGTTGTTCCTCTTTCATTTTTCTAGTCAGAAATGGAAGCAGGCTCTGCAAATTATATTTCCATGCAGCTTAACACATCAGAGCCTGTGCAGCAGTTCAGGTGTGGCACTGCAGAGGGAACCTTGTGGACCAGCCACAGAAATTGATAAACTGGTTGGATATTAGACACCTTCCTGTGTCCCAGGGAGAGCCTGGGGGCCATAAAACTGGTCAGACCAATGTTTTGTGACTCCCAGATGGAGCTGGCCCATGGATGCAGGGCTGGCAGGGTGAGTGCTGTGCACTCCCAGCTCCCTGCACTCATCCATGTCCAGCACCACAGCCACTGCCAGCAAATTTGTGAGGACCCTTTCCCTCCAAAATCCCCAGAGTATTTTTGCTCTCTGCCTCTACTTCTTATGGCACAGCACAGTGCAGGAAAGTGACATTTGATCTGTTTGAGCAGTTTGATGAAACTTTATTCTGGAAACCAAACAAGGGTGCCATGCACTTGGTGTGTGCCTGGCTCTGTAATAATTGTTATCCAGGTCAGAGAAAAGCCCTGTGCCGGGTGCCCAGCGTGGAGAACACCAGCAGTGAGGGTGCAGAGGGGAGGGTGCTGTGTGAGCAGGGCTCCCAGCCCTGCCCTGTGCAGGGAGCAGAGCCCTCCACAATGCCTCCCTGGCGAGCTATTGCCTAGATCAGAATTGCTTGGTCATGGTGACTGGGCTAAGAGACCCTCTTCCCACCTCAGGACCCCATTTTATCTCCTTGTAAGACTATTGGTCATATTTCCTCAGCCCTAAATGACTGGCCCTTCTGTCAAGCCATTCCTTCCCTATAAAACCCTGCTTCTGCCCAGTTCAGTGGAATGGAGCTGTCACTGGACCCCCTTTGCAGAAGTTGCCAATAAAGAACTCTGTGGAGCAGCCACACAGCTCTTCCCATCTCGTGTTCCTGAGTCAGCCAGGGTACTGTGTGAGCTGAGCTGAAATCACTCAGAGCTGAAATCACCAAAGGAGTTCATCACCTGAAGCCCAGGCCTTGCCTGCATTGGTC